AATCGGATTTCTTTACATCTCTCTTCTTAAAATGCGTCTCTTTTTAATCATAGATATGGCTACAAACTAATGGGGTTTGGAAGGTTTGGAGCCTAATAATGTTTTGGTTTTCCTCCCAATGAGCATAGCTACCCTCCCTGGTCGCCATAGCAGGCATGTTGCCTCGGATACTACCACGGCTATTCCCTCACTGACTCTCACCATCTTCGTGATAGAAAGATATTAGACAGCAAACGCATCACGACGGCCTAACGTGATTCTCTGGTATTTCTCCCTGCAAAATAGCTATGCTGTATCCTAAATAATGGCATTTATTACATTACAAAACAGTTAGGCTACTCAGTGGCTATTAAAATAGTCATCATTAAAAGTAGTAAACAATTGACATTGATATATTGATAGGTGCGCTTTAGCCTGCACGTTAAAGACGTACATGCAAACAACAGGTCTAAACAATAATATAGGCCTAGATTCTAGACTATTTATTGCAAATGTTTCTATATTACACCGATCCACCATTATAGATATAGCTGTTAGCCTATCTCTTACTCTAAACAAGAGCTGGAGTCGTAGAATCGACTGTCTAATGGCCAATAAAATATTGACACAAACCCAAAATAACCGTATGTGCGTCTCCTGGCAGCTGATACAGTGTGGGAACATTATGCTCCTCATATAAATAAATGTAGGCTACTCACCGAATTTCCTGTCTGCAGAGGCTAAAAAATAGGGTTGGAAAGCAAGGAGGACGAGAAGAATGTAAATCGAATCCATGTTTCTCATTCTTGATCCATGACACACATGCAGTAGTTAACAATTCATGTCTATGGTTTCGTTTCGTTTTATGAAAGGAGAGAGGAGAGACAGAATCAGGGAGAGAGATGGAGGTTGGAAGGTAGGGGGAGGATGCAAGGCGATTCAGGCAGAAGCTCCATGGGTCTCGACTCCTGCAGTCAGTCTCACTACGATGATCAGCACTAGGAACATACCAGCGTTGGCCCCTCCTAGCTGACGCCAAGGAGAAGCGCACATGCTGAGAGCGCAGCTAACGCATCATTGAGCGCACACCATTATACAGCCACCCTAAATGTCTTTATTAACATTTTACATTTTACATTTTATTCATTTAGCAGAGAGTGGCCAGACGGAAGCCACTCCTTAGTAAAAGGCACATGACAGCCCGCTTGGAGTTTACCAAAAGGCACATAAAGACTCTCAGACCATGACAAACCAGATTCTCTGGTCTGATGAACATTAACCCATTATAAGAGGCACATGTCAACAGAAGCTGGTTACTGATAATAAAAATGGTGATATTATGATTGTAGTTTGGTACTGTACTAAGTAACCTAGCCTGTTTAACTTTGTAAAATTTGCCTGAAAAGTATTGAACAGCCGAATGTGCCAATTGCCAATATGCGTCTTCTGTTAGAATGTAGGACAGAGCTGTTCAATGTCGCTGGTTTTCATCCTCTCCTTCCAATAAAGGGACTAATTCAGACCTGGGACACCAGGTGATTGCAATTAACTACCAGGTAGAAGAAAAAAAAACATAAGTGTTTTGGCTCTCCAGGACCGGAATTTTAACGGACCTGATACTTTAGCTTTCGGAAAGTATTCAGACCCTTTGACTTTTTCCACATTTTGTTACGTTACAGCCTTATTCTAAAATGGATTAAATAAAAATAAAAACTCAGCAATCTACACACAATACCCCATAATGACAAAGCAAAAACAGGTCTTTATACATTTTTGGAAATGTATTAAAAATAAAAAACAGAAATACCTTATTTACATAAGTATTCAAACCCTTTGCTATGAGACTCAAAATTGAGCTCAGGTGCATCCTGTTTCAATTGGTCATCCTTGAGATGTTTCTACAACTTCATTGGAGTCCACCTGTGGTAAATTCAATTGATTGGACATGATTTGGAAAGGCACACACCTGTCTATATAAGGTTGAAGGAATTGTCCGTAGAGCTCAGAGACAGGATTGTGTCGAGGCACAGATCTGGGGAAGGGTACCAAAAAATGTCTGCAGCATTGAAGGTCCCCAAGAACACAGTGGCCTCCATCATTCTTAAATGGAAGAGGTTTGGAACCACCAAGACTCTTCCTAGAGCTGGCCGCCCGGCCAAACTGAGCAATCGGGGGAGAAGGGCCTTGGTCAGGGAGGTGACCAAGAACCCAATGCTCACTCTGACAGAGCTCTAGAGTTCCTCTGTGGAGATGGGAGAACCTTCCAGAAGGACAACCATCTCTGCAGCATGGAATGGAATGGGAGAAACTCCCCAAATACAAGCTTGTAGCGTCATACCCAAGAAGACTCGAGGCTGTAATCGCTGCCAAAGGTGCTTCAACAAAGTACTGAGTAAAGGGTCTGAATACTTATGTAAATGTTATATTTCCGTTTTGAATTTTTTATAAATTTGCAAAAATGTCTAAAAACCTGGTTTTACTGTTTCATTATGGGGTATTGTGTGCAGGTTGATAAGGGGAAAAAACGATTTAATCAATTTAAGAATAAGGCTGTAATGTAATAAAATGTGGAAAAAGTCAATGGATCTGAATAATTTCCAAAGAGGGCACGTGAAGAAAATCCCTATTGACAGCATTTGTTCCAGGAAATCCCTTTGAACATTAGATCTACCTTTCTAACATGAATCACTATCTCATTCCACCTCTCTCTCATTCCATCTCATCTCTCTCATACCCTAGGCCTAGGGTGTGACACCACATCCTCGTTCTGTGGCAGCCCATAGGTTCTCTCTCTATCATGCAATAACACAACATCACATCTGTTATTGGAGCATCCTGCTTTGGTATCCTCTTCAATCTGAGACCTTAATTCTGTAGAAGACCACCAAGGTAAAATTAGTTTTATATAGGATATTCAGGAGATATTCTGTTTTCTTTCGTCAATAGCTATTGAACCAAGCATGCCATGACTATGAAGATGAATATAATTTTACCTCAGTTAGAAGACCTACTGTAGATTTTGAAAAGAGAGCCGAGAACTGTGGGAATGGAGAACTGTAAGGTGGTTTGAGTTGACTGATACATCTATCTCCCTGAAATTAATAACCAGATAAATAAAAGTAAACCAAGGTAATACAAAGGCGTCAATGGTTGACTCATCCAATCAGAGAGTCAGTCATTGTGAGCACACCGACACACCATTTACAAATAACCATCCCTCAAATGTTTGCACATTACATATTTTTGTGACTCATGCCGCGTTCACATTATTTCGGAAACTTGGAAATATATGACTTGCTTACTCATTGTGGAAAGATCGCTACGTTTACACAGTCAGCCCAATTCTGCATTTTTTCCCCACTAATTGGTCTTTTGACCAATCACATCAGATCTTTTCAAATCAGCTCTTTTTCAGAGCTGATCTGATTGGTCAAAAGACCAGTTAGTGAAAAAATATCAGAATTGGGCTGCCTTTCTAACAGAGTTTTCCAATTGGGAAGTATCAGAATCAACTTATGTTCATTTTAACTAGGAGGTCCTGAGTTTCCGACGAGACATGAACACGGCATCGTTTGCAATGAGCAAGCTCATGTATTATTAAAAGGGCCCACAAGATCACGTCAATATACCTACATCGATTTGATGAAAATGAAATACAAACAAGACGAATAGATATAAATGAATGAAAACAAGAAATATGAAAATAAATGAAAACAACAAGCATTAGTGCAAAATCAGATTAAGTTCTACCAATAAACGTTTGATAACAGTAGGACATTAGAATGAAGTCCATGGAGTCAAAGTAATATACAGCGTATTGCTGTGCATACAGCAATAGCTCTTTATTATTTAAAAGACATAAGGAGAAATTCTCAAACATGGAAACTATAAAAGCTTCTTTATACTTAAAAACATCTGAATATTTGTGGATTTAAGGCACAAGATAAATAAAGTACATGGAGAAGGCGAACCAGTTCAGGAGAGGATAGGAACTTGACTTCAGAGACCGTTTTCATTTGATGGCTTACACATACAACTAGTTAAAAAAAGGACAGAGGTGACAGAGGTTTGAGTACACAAATCATAACTAATACATTAGGTTACACGCCACTATGGCACAGTCTAAACGTGGTACAATCTAAAATGCTTTCCATTATGATGCATCATTAATGTGGTAACTAGATACAATACGGTCATACCCATAACGTAAACCAAAACAATTCCTTCATCCTTATCATGTGTTTTTTTGCAAGCGATTGCATTAAAGAGAAGCATTGAATAAGATATGCAAGCTGAAATGTGTTCGTAATACAAAAACATAATTAAGACTGGTATATTTATTGATAACAAACATGATACATATATTTCACCATCCATAATTGATCTGTCCTGATTTCAGAGTTGGAAAATCAATTATCATAAGCCACAATGATTTGAAGAAGGCTGGAATATTCCTGTGATGTTAACTAGAGCAAGTTCTGTTATTATTACTGTTCCTAAACACCATGCTGATGCTTAGAAAGACTTTCAAAATGCAGAAATGAATACTGTGCAAACATGCATACATATTTGGCTTAGTTAAAACCCCATATAGGCAATGAAATGAAACACTTGTGTCTTTGGTGGCCAAGTACTGTGCTAGGTGCACTATTTAACTTAGAGGAGAGACTGTCAACTTGTAGCATCATGCTCTGACATAGTTAATATTTTTAGACTGTAGAGTTTATATGTAGTTAGTTGAATTTAAAAAAATGAAATGGTAATTTTGACCAAGCGAAACCTCCCTCTACTAACACTATAATAACCTTCTCTTTAGTCTTCATTGTACATATTTACATATATGTTGTACATTCCCCACATAAAACAAGGCGGTTAAACTTGCTGTCAAAGCCGTAGCAAGAAAATCGATATTTTGTTACGGTCCTCAATCATTTCCTTTTAAATATGGAATAATTTTTTCATTCATTTTAACACCACATACTCCCTTTCTTACTATTGCACTGGATAGTTTCTAAGTGGGGAGCGCTAACAATGCAACTGATGTGTATAAATGAATATCAAAAGCTTTTTTACAATTGTCTTAAAAGCAACTGTATGGAAAAGCAGTTACGTTTGCTCAAGATCTGGGCTGTATGTATCATGTGTCTCAGAGTAGGAGTGCTGATCTATGATCATGTCCCCCCTGTCCATGTAATCTTATTGATTATGGATTCATGTCCATATTATCTTATCTATTGTGATCTAAAAGGCCAAACTGATCATAAATCAGCACTACTCTGAGATGCTTGACACATACGGGCTCTGGTGGCAATGATACATGGGTGAAGACTTGGTTAGGTCCTCCTCTACTTCTCATGGTGTAGTCTATAGCTGCTGAAGAGGTTTTTTCAGACCATCCTCACTCAACTCATACCTAGTGGCAAATACAGAGACGCATTGTTATAAAACAGGAATAACAAACATACATTTACATTGACTACGCTTCATTCTTTGTACCTCAAATGGTGTGATGAGAGCAAATAATGTCTCAATTTGTTTGAGAACAAGTAAACATGACGGTATTTTTTCAGTTATTTTCACTAACCATTGTGTCCATCCTTTTGCGATATCCTCGTAAGTCAGATCCACTAGAACCTGTCAGGATGACATGATATGAAGGACGTAGGGTGAGACTTGGACAGGTAAATAAGAAAGAGTGATTGCAACGTTTCCCTGTGAATCAGCAATAATGTATATTCACAGTTATGTCATCCAATAATGGACAAGGCATGCATGTATAAACATAGTGCTGTTGTAGCCCCATGTAGCTCAGTTGGTAGAGCATGGCGCTTGCAACGCCAGGGTTGTGGGTTCGATTCCCACGGGGGGCCAGTATGGGGAAAAAAAAAAAAATGTATGCACTCACTAACTGTAAGTCGCTCTGGATAAGAGCGTCTGCTAAATGACTAAAAATGTAAAATGTAAAAAGAGGACAGGTCCAGTCTCACCTTCCCAAGCAGCCCTTTGTGTTTGGAAAAAATATTTCCTCCGTTCTTTACTGCCACGTCCAGAGTCCGCCTGTGTAGCTCCACGATCGACACACTGAACTCAAATCTGACAACACGCAAACACAATTCAATTATACAATGATTACCAGTACACCACCAGTAGATCCACTGATGTCTGATGGTGAGACGAGTAAAGAGGAATGTTTAAACTTACATCTGGTCGAAGACAGGGTTCAGTGTCTTCTTGTGCGTGTGGGTTTTCCTCCTCCCAGACCTTCGCTTGTCAGGTAGAAGATAGAGCCGCACATACGGATCTGACAAGTGATCTGTGAACACAATCAGGTTTCTGTGGAGAGAGAGAGAGATATACAGTGGGGGAAAAAAAGTATTTAGTCAGCCACCAATTGTGCAAGTTCTCCCACTTAAAAAGATAAGAGAGGCCTGTAATTTTCATCATAGGTACACGTCAACTATGACAGACAAATTGAGGAAAAAAAATCCAGAAAATCCCATTGTAGGATTTTTAATGAATTTATTTGCATATTATGGTGGAAAATAAGTAATTGGTCACCTACAAACAAGCAAGATTTCTGGCTCTCACAGACCTGTAACTTCTTCTTTCAGAGGCTCCTCTGTCCTCCACTCGTTACCTGTATTAATGGCACCTGTTTGAACTTGTTATCAGTATAAAATACACCTGTCCACAACCTCAAACAGTCACACTCCAAACTTCACAATGGCCAAGACCAAAGAGCTGTCAAAGGACACCAAAAACAAAATTGTAGACCTGCACCAGGCTGGGAAGACTGAATCTGCAATAGGTAAGCAGCTTGGTTTGAAGAAATCAACTGTGGGAGCAATTATTAGGAAATGGAAGACATACAAGACCACTGATAATCTCCCTCGATCTGGGGCTCCACGCAAGATCTCACCCCGTGGGGTCAAAATGATCACAAGAACGGTGAGCAAAAATCCCAGAACCACACGGGGGGACCTAGTGAATGACCTGCAGAGAGCTGGGACCAAAGTAACAAAGCCAACCATCAGTAACATACTACGCCGCCAGGGACTCAAATCCTGCAGTGCGAGACGTGTCCCCCTGCTTAAGCCAGTACATGTCCAGGCCCGTCTGAAGTGCATTTGGATGATCCAGAAGAGGATTGGGAGAATGTCATATGGTCAGATGAAACCAAAATATAACTTTTTGGTAAAAACTCAACTCGTCATGTTTGGAGGACAAAGAATGCTGAGTTGCATCCAAAGAACACCATACCTACTGTGAAGCATGGGGTTGGAAACATCATGCTTTGGGGCTGTTTTTCTGCAAAGGGACCAGGACGACTGATCCGTGTAAAGGAAAGAATGAATGGGGCCATGTATCGTGAGATTTTGAGTGAAACCCTCCTTCCATCAGCAAGGGCATTGAAGATGAAACGTGGCTGGGTCTTTCAGCATGACAATGATCCCAAACACACCGCCCGGGCAACGAAGGAGTGGCTTCGTAAGAAGCATTTCAAGGTCCTGGAGTCTCCAGATCTCAACCCCATAGAAAATCTTTGGAGGGAGTTGAAAGTCCGTGTTGCCCAGCGATAGCCCCAAAACATCACTGCTCTAGAGGAGATCTGCATGGAGGAATGGGCCAAAATACCAGCAACAGTGTGTGAAAACCTTGTGAAGACTTACAGAAAACGTTTGACCTGTGTCATTGCCAACAAAGGGTATATAACAAAGTACTGAGAAACTTTTGTTATTGACCAAATACTTATTTTCCACCATAATTTGCAAATAAATTCATTACAAATCCTGCAATGTGATTTTCTGGAATTTTTTTCCTCATTTTGTCTGTCATAGTTGACGTGTACCTATGATGAAAATTACAGGCCTCTCTCATCTTTTTAAGTGGGAGAACTTGCACAATTGGTGGCTGACTAAATACTTTTTTTCCCCACTGTATAGAGAGAAAGAGACATGAAGACACAGAAATAGAGAGGGACAGAGAGAGAGAGACAGACAGATAACGTGGACTATCCAGAGATAGACTAGATCCATTCAAGGCGGCTACTGTAGCTCATCAGTCATCTCATTACATGTGCCCTCCTGGAGTCTGAAGTGTAAATCAATGTCCTATTGAGAACTGAGTAGTTTGACACAATTAAGTTAGCTGGATCACATCCTTTGAGTTAACAGAAAACAACTATCAAAACTAAAGCATTCATTGTGTGATCAAATAAAAAAGCTTGTACTGTACATTGAAAATAGAGTGGATACATCTGATACAACCGACACCTTGTCCAATACTTAGTGTATAGAATAACATGGGCATGCTACAGTTTTGGCTGCATCCCAAATGGCACCCTATTCCCTATACAGTGTAATAGGGTGCCATATGGGACACAGGCTAAATCTCCTGTCATGTCTCTTACCGGCAGGCGTGCACCACCACGATGAGCTTGTTCCTCTGAGAGCTGTGTCTGACAGTCAACTGTACCTCACCCAGGGGGAAATGACTGGCTGAGCCACTGTGGACAGAGACACACACATTAGTCTAATTGTTCTGATAACAAACAAGACTTCACATTAGGTCTGTAATATAATCTGCAAGTTAGTCAATATTTCTATATTTTATGCTTTGATTATGTCACAATGAGGTGTGTATGTGCGCATGCCTGCATGCGTGCATCAATGTGTTTTTGTGTGTGCTTGGTTTCATGCATGCTTACTTCTGCAGCTCTCTCAGCCTCTGCTGGAGCTCCTGTGTGGCGTAGGGGTTGGAGATGTCTGAGGCGATGCTGGGGGTTGACCCCCTGTGGGCCAGGTGTTTCTGAGAGCCAGAGATGGCCAGGTTGGAGGTGCTCCTGCCTGCGTCGGCCAGGCCGATGCCTACCGGGCCACCTGAGTAGGGCTCGCAATCCCCCCCTCTCCTGTGGAGCTCCTGGGTGGAGGCATCCACAGAGCTGGGGAGGTCTAAGACAGGGTTGGGGGGTTCGGAGACTGACGGTCTCTTCATGGGGATGGGGTTACTAGTGCTGGCCTTACGAACCTGCACCGAGGACGTTTGGTCAGATGCTATCAGCTTCTCCAGACACAGAACCTGCAGAAGTGGGACATTGAGGTTGGAGAGGCTTAAAAATAATCATATGAGACACATTGCTTGTCTTCATTGAATAATGTGTAGTACATACAGTACCAGTCAAAGGTTTGGACACACCTACTCATTCAAGGGTTTTTCTTTATTTTTACAATTGTAGAATAATAGTGAAGACATCAAAACTATAAAATAACACATATGGAATCATGTAGTAACCAAACAAGTGTTAAACAAATCAAAATATATTTTATATTTGAGATTCTTCAAATAGCCACCCTTTGCCTTGATGACAGTTTTGCACACTCTTGGCATTCTCTCAACCAGCTTCACCTGGAATGCTTTTCCAACAGTCTTGAAGGAGTTCCCACATATGCTGAGCACTTGTTGGCTGCTTTTCCTTCACCCTGCCGTACGACTCATCCCAAACCATCTCAATTGGGTTGAGGTCGGGGGATTGTGGAGGCCAGGTCATCTGATGCAGCACTCCATCACTCTCCTTCTTGGTAAAATAGCCCTTACACAGCCTGGAGGCGTGTTGGGTCATTGTCCTGTTGAAAAACAAATGATAGTCCCACTAAGCCCAAACCAGATGGGATGGCATATCGCTGCAGAATGCTGTGGTAGCCATGCTGGTTAATTCTAAATAAATCACAGACAGTGTCACCAGCAAAGCACCCCCACACCATAACACCTCCTCCTCCATGCTTTACGGTAGGAAAATCATCCATTCACCCACACCGCATCTCACAAAGACACGGCGGTTGGAACCAAAAATCTCCAATTTGGACTCCAGACCAAAGGACACATTTCCACCGGTCTAATGTCCATTGCTCGTGTTTCTTGGCACAAGCAAGTCTCTTCTTCTTATTGGTGTCCTTTAGTAGTGGTTTCTTTGCAGCAATTAGACCATGAAGGCCTGATTCACACAGTCCTCTCTGAACAGTTGATGTTGAGATGTGTCTGTTACTTGAACTCTGTGAAGCATTTATTTGGGCTGCAATTTCTGTGGCTGGTAACTAATTAACTTATCCTCTGCAGCAGAGGTAACTCTGGGTCTTCCATTCCTGTGGCGGTCCTCATGAGAGCCAGTTTCATCATAGCGCTTGATGGTTTTTGCAACTGCACTTGAAGAAACTTTCAAAGTTCTTGAAATGTTCCGTATTGACTGATCTTCATGTCTTAAAGTAATGATGGACTGTTGTTTCTCTTTGCTTATTTGAGCTGTTCTTGCTATATTATGGACTTGGTGTTTTACCAAATAGGGCTATCTTCTGTTTACCCCCCTACCTTGTCACAACACAACTGATTGGCTCAAACACATTTAGAAGGAAATACATTCCACAAATTAACTTTTAAGAAGGCAAACCTGTTAATTTAAATGCATTACAGGTGACTACCTCATGAAGCTGGTTGAGAGAATGCCAGTGCAAAGCTGTCATCAAGGCAAAGGGTGGCTATTTGAAGAATCTCAAATATAAAATATATTTTGATTTGTTTAACACTTGTTTGGTTACTACATGATTCCATATGTGTTATTTCATAGTTTTGATGTATTCACTATTATTCTACAATGTTAAAAATAAAGAAAACCCCTTGAATGAGTTGGTGTCCAAACTTTTGACTGGTAGTGTATATATCTTTTTAAAAGCAAAAATGCGAAATGATTGCAGTCAGGCTAAACATTGAACATTTAGCAGGGAGAGTAATAAGGTGAATATGACTCCGTCCCAAATGGCACCCTATTCCCTGCATGGGTCCTGGTCAAAAGAAGTGCACTATATAGGGAATAGGGTGCCAATTTGGGACACAGCCAACGTAAAAGAGTCCTATTCAGACCCTCATGGACCCTTACCCTCAGTGCAATCTTTATCTTGAGGGTGCAGCTGGGCCCAGAGTTCTTGAGCGGGAAGTGCTGGTTTAGTGTCATGTCCTCAGCCTCTAGGAGACGGACCAGGGGCAGGTTCAGAGTCCCCAGGGAACACTCATGTTTCTCATCCTTCACCTGAGGAGAGAAAAGGGGACACATCATCACACAGCCACAGCACAAATCAAACGCAACAACAAACTTTACAGCAAAACAATCAAATGAGGCAAGCTAGAGGCAAAGATGTCATAAAACAGTAAAATCGTTGATGAAAAGCCAAGCTAAACATGTGGGGTTTTAAGCGTGATTTAAAACAGCAGACAAAATCAACTCAATCCCACATCATAGCCACAGAGATCAAATCAGACACAAAAGCCAGACTAAATGGCTGACATTTTGAGGTCACTCAGGAGGGAAAGCATGCTTCTGTACCTCGACCTCCAGCTCTTGGCATTTGGGGTTGTGGATAAGGAAAGTAAACACCTCTTCCCAAACAGGCTCGTTGGTCTTATACCTTGTCTGGTTAGGGAAGGAGGATCATGTTAGAGACAGTATAACAACTAGAAATATTATATTCACGTTGCACTGGAAATACCTCTGTATTTTATGTGGTTAATGTAACCAGTTGTGGAAAAAGTACCCAATTGTCATACTTGAGAAAAAGTAAAGATACCTTAATAGAAAATGACTCAAGTAAAAGTGAAAGTCACCCAGTAAAATACTACTTGAGTAAAAGTCTAAAAGTATTTGGTTTTAAATATACTTAAGTATCAAAAGTAAATGTAATTGCAAAAATATACTTAAGTATCAAAAGTAAATCATTTTAAATTCCTTATATTAAGCAAACCAGAAGGCAGCATTTTGTTGTTTTTAAAATCTATGGATAGCCAGAGGCACACTCCAACACTGACATAATTTACAAACGAAGCATGTGTGTTTAGTGCATGAATTTGACAAGTTTCCTGTCAAAATGTAACGAGTACTTTTGGGTGTCAGGGAAAATGTATGGAGTAAAAAGTACATTATTTTCTTTAGGAATGTAGTAAAGTAAAAGTAAAAGTTGTCAAAAATATAAATAGTAAAGTACAGATGCCCCCCAAAAATACTTAAGTAGTGCTTTAAAGTATTTTTACTTAAGTACTTTACACCACTGAATGTAACATACAAATCTAGGGTCTAGAAAATGTGTTATTTTGGTCTTGAGCTTACCTTACTCTCATAGGTTTTGTGGCCGACTGTGAATTGTACAAAGGGACTCGGGACGCTGCTCACTTTCTTACCAGACTGTGAAACAACAAGAAAAGGTATAAAACACATAACCTCTAGCCCTGTGAGATGTTAACTTCATTAGGTACTACTGTATCACCCTAGCCTCATCAAGTTCAGTATTTAAATGTTTAAATATCTAATCACTTAAAAATAGTTTTTGTTTTGTTGATGAAATGCAGAAGAGGAGTGTCCGGCAGCATGGTAAAAAAAACTGCAGTACATATTCTGCTGGTCTATCACACGTGCAATGATGTCAGAGCGAAAAACAACAACAACAGTGTTCGTTGTTTGCAGTTCTTCTTTGTTGTTGTAATATCCCAAAACTGACGTGGCAGTTTCACCAATTAAGAATTGTAGCTAAAATAACTTATTTCATTATGTAGAATGGGTATATTCTCAACAATATAATTCAAATCATTTTTTTTACATCAGCAGATGCTCTATATTTCTGAAATATATTTGTGAAATAAAGATTCTGTTAAAAGTGATTTATGTAAAACTAATCATGTGGACTGATCCCTCATTGGCTAAATATGGCAGCATAAAGACTTGAGATCAGGAAGTAGGTATTGAAGTTACATAAATGTCTATAGAAGAACCCCATAACACCAGGAAATAGAGTTGAATTTGGAAGAGAGAGGAAATACTTATATAAAGATAGATTTTCTTGGTGCATTAATTATCTCATACAACACATTTGTTATGTACATCAGAATATGGTGCTTGGAATGCAGTTTTAGTCCACAAACACAATTAGTAGAGTTTGGGGTTTGTTAATAATTAATTACACAAAACAAGGAACCCAAATCAACTTGCAAGGCATTTTGAATGCTCCAGCAGCAGTCCTGTAGCAATACATGGGTGGGGAACAACTTGTAAGCAATATTACTCACTGGGATCTAATCAATCGATACAGTTGACGCTAGTCTAGTAAACTTAATTGCTTTCCACTTTCACAAATTGCCTACTACTCAACACATTTGTATTCAGGAAACGAGTACATGATAAACTGATCAATACTAAATCCACTTCCTAATAGAAAAAGCACGGTACTGTATGTGGTTCCCCTACTACAGTGTAACTCTGGCCAACTGCAGTGTGTATCTCTAGGCCCTGTTCAAATACCTTAAATGCATCCTTAATCACTGATCTATAAGTGAGTGCACAGATGAAAACATAGCTTCCACCCCATTGCTTTCACCAGTCTTACTGTATTACAGGAAGGGTGTTTTAAAAAAAGTATTTAACAGGGCCTTTAGTCTTCCTCAGTCTGTCTGTCTGTCTGTCTGTCTGTCTGGATGGCTCTGCATGCTCGGATGTTACATTACCTTGATGGCCTTACTGACTGAGGCCTTCTTCAAACCGTCATGGTTGAATTCTAAAGGATTGCGCTTTTTCCCCCAGGGCAGGAGAGAATGAACACACCAGGTTGGTTATTAGCACAGGGCATGCAAGGAGGAGGAGGAGCAGGAGGAAGAGGAGGAGGTTAAATCATGGATGGAGCGACGATGACGACCACACACCAGACGACCCCAAAACCAGGATGCCAGGTAGAGACAGACAGAGACAAAAACAACATGATGAGCACAAGGTTAATTAATGAAGGTTCCCCCAATGAATCATGAAGTGTATTGACAACGACATACCCAGGAAAAACACAATGGGAGATAAAGAGGCGCATTCATTATGGAGAAAACAGAAGAACCATTCCAACCCTGACAAGGCAGTCCAGTAACAGGAGTGAGATGGTGTTTGTGAATAGAAAGTAATAATTGGGGTAAGGTTCCAGTAACTTTCCCAAAATTCCTAGGTTTTCTAAAAATCCCAGTTGGAGGATTCCCAGAATCAGGACGGAATCTGTGAAACCTCCAACCAATAATGGGGATATTCATGTTGTAGTTGTTATGTACATCTATGACATTCCAGATACTTTATTATCTCTTTATAAGTAAATGGAGTAGAGTCATTATTTTAATGAGTACTTTCGTGAGTACTCATTATTTTAATGAGTACTTTCGTACAACACATACAACATCATTTCTAGCAACAAATACATCTACAGTTAAATGAATACAGTTCATCCACAGAGTGAAGCAGTTCGTTCAGGACGTAGTATATCCTTGCATTCTGTATCACATTAGCTATTCATTCGCTGTTGTTAAAAATGACATTTTTGTTGTCAGCTACACATCTTTGGAGAATTGTTAACATATCTTGACAGGTCATGTCACTGCCCCCTTCCCAAATGGCACCCTATTCCCTATATATAGAATAGGGTGCCATTTGGGACGCAGACCATGCCTTGCTAAGTCATGCCATTGCTTTTGGACTGAGTAGTGTGGGAGACATGTGTAACAGGATATTGGAGTTGGGAGATGCTCTGAGATGACTAGTTATGTCTGGAATTTGAGACAAGGCGAGGCAGGGTGAGTGTCCTTAGGACGCCCGTGTTACAGGTAAGAGAGCATTTGTTGCTGGGGCAACAACCCATTAACAGGCGGGTAATGGCTGGATAAGCGGGTTGGAGGGAAAGCAATCTACAGACAGGCCTCCTAACATGCCTCTGGCTCTTTTGCACCAATATCTTTCTCAAGACCTGGCCTCATAGTTATGACTGACAGCCTCACTGTTAAATCACTGTATGTTTTATGCAACATTTTAAGAACATACGTGCATAAGTCAATCATACGACAGTCAACATGCTTATTGGAGTTTCTTTCTCATTTCAATCGTCAAAATTGCAAACAAAAAAACTATAACTAGGATGCAAAATACCAGAGGACTCACAAATAAGGTCCTATAGAGAGAGGCCGTATTCTCACAAAAGACTAGGCCCGAAGCTCTCCGCTCTTTTAAGTGGCCAGAACCCAAGTTCCCCTCGAACACACTCTTCAGAGGAGGGAAATGGAGAGAAGAAAGCAAAGAAGAAGAAGAGGCTGAAAAGAGACATGTGAAGCAGGGTTTGCCTACGCTATGCATTTATGCAAATAGAGTCAAAACAGATGTTATTTCACAGGTGATATAGAACAGTATATCAACTTCAGCTACAATAATGTATCCCTTTGGCAGACTATTAGTGTGAGGGAATAAATATTAACATTATCACGAGGAGAGGAGAGGAGGGAGGAGAAGGGAAGGAGTTCAAGCAAGAGAACAATCAGAGGAAGAGGAGGAAGAGGAGGCAGGTGAGAGAAGCTGGGGTGAACTGGGAGGCTCATACTGTCTGATGACTAGTAGACTGGCACAATAATACCTTATGTTTTATGGCCTTTGAGGAAACTTGACATTACCATCTCCTAACTAACAAATGAAAGAAGTTGTGCTTAGTTAAGGCAATGTAGTGCGTTTCCCCATCCAAGTTATAGTTTAAATGGGGCCAATGATTGATGTTTAACCTCTGCTACACATTAGACCCTGCAGAACGGATTATCAACCTTAAGTATATAGTAGCTCTTGTGGTTCTTCCTATTCTTCCAGTGAGTTTACCACAGGTGGAGTGACTTACTGGGAGGTTCCTTGCTGAGTCCAGGTAGACCACCAGCAGTGCAGATGACAGGCCGTCGTTAGCCTGGCCTTTATCAGCCTTAATACTGGTCAGCACCTAGGAGAGACAGCGGAAGAGGACCAGACCATAATCAATAGTTACAGTTAGTTAATCAATTCAAACAACTTTATTTGTCCACTTAGTACAATGCTATTAGGGTTATAGCGGTGCTTCAAACAGGTACAGAGGCAGTAAATAGGCAAGACCATGAGAGACAATGAATTATGCACTTTAGCCAATACTGTAGGAGTTGCAATTTGTACTGTTGGTCAAACATTGAATGATGTGAGTTATCTATTATTGGCTTCAGTGCTGATATAATGGACTGCAGAAATGCAGTTTGTGTCCCAAATGACACCCTATTTCCCTATTTAGCGCATTACTTTTGACTAGAGCCCTATAGGCCCTGGTCAAAAGTAATGCGCTAAATAGGGAATAGGGTGTCATTTGGGACGTGTCCACAGCATTAGGTGTTACAGGGATCTATGAGTGTACTAATGGAACAAATGTTAAATAAGCACCACAGCACTAGTTCAAACAGGGTGAGCACTCCGTCTTGGATTATCCAAAATATCCCTTTAATCTGCATGTTTAATTTACTAATTAATATGTAGACTTATTAATGTTGAGTGTCTTAATGCTGAAGGACTGAAAAGTTAATTAACATACAGACTGATCTAAAGTAGCACTCAGAAAGACTAGGCTTGTGTCCTAATTGGCACCCTACTCTCTATATAGTGCACTACTTTTGACCTGATCAAAAGTATTGCACTACATCGGCAATAGGGTGCCATTTTGGATGCAGTGTAGAGAAAGGCGGTACCTGATCCAGCTTTTCAGGAGTGGGGAGCAGAGACAGCCACTCTAGTTTTAAATGCAGCTTTCCGGTGTTCACCTCCTCCATGACAAACCACTGGAATGGAACACAGTGTGCCGGATGATCACATATACTGTATTTACAATTGAGTGTTTTTATTTAGAAAAAAACAACAAAAAAAAACACTTTACCTCATCAACTTTCTGTTCCTTCTGAAGTTCAGCCACATCTATCAGTAAACTGTAGGGAAATATACACATACTGTACTGTGAGTTAATTGGAGAGAGTGGCTAACACATGATAACTTTATGTGCTACAGCAGAGGTCATGCTTGATGTTCAAGTGATGTTGATGGCTGAGGAAGGACCCCAAAGGATTGGGATCTATCATTAACCTTCCTAGGAAATCATCCTGGTCTGTGTCCTCATCAAACAGCTCTATCTCCAGGTTCTGTGGTCCTGACTGCTCATACACCATAGCCTGAGGGTCACATTTACACATACAGTTTTACAGACCTTCTGCGTGGCATACAGGACAACATATTGGTAATGTACTGTAATAATGTATCTAATGTCAGAGAACCCACCAACTCCAACATTGTAAAATAGTCCCATTCAGTTTCTTCAATAAGACATTCCCTCTCATACTGTCAAAGATCTAATCATGATTTTTTCAGACAGAACAATCATCCTAAGAACACTTCTCGAACCTCCTTGTGGACACTTTAAAATGTTTTCTCTACCTCATAGACTTCGTTCCACTTGGGATGGATGTTCTCCTTGACCACCTTGCTCTGGAACAGCTGGTTGCCGATGTGAAGGACACCGTATGGGTCTGACTTGCCCTTGATCAGACCCCCCAGGAACTTATCCTTCCCTAACAGGTCCTGGGCCTCCAGGAAGTGAATCCTCAGGACACCCTAGAGGAGAGAGAGACAAAACACTAAGTTCATAATACTGTATATCATAGTGATTTAATGTATTACATTAACAACATTGGAATTCAATAATGCCATAAGGGATGGGTTGCATTTGAACATAACAAAACAACAGCAAAAAATGTTTTGATTCATTTAGTGGAATATGTGTCTTGCTTTCAGTGATTGGGAATCCTCCCTACCTTAGGTATTGGGAAGCGTAGCTGAGCCAGCTGAGCCTCTCCCACCAGAGGAATGGTGATGCGGTTGGGCAGGACCAGGTAGCTGTAGATGATGTCCTGGATCAGGTTATCACACAAGCCACTAACAGGGGACACAGACAGGGATACACGTTATAAGACACACAGTCCAGGGGACACACAGAGACACTGATAGAAAACGTACATCTTCCATTCAGGTTGCTGCTACCGCCATCCTGTTACAACCAACATTCTGCATTTGAAATGGCTCTCTATTCCCTACATGGGTCGTTCTACAGAAGTGGTGTAAATTGGGGGTTGGAAAGAAATTCCCATTTGTATCCCATTTCTCCCAAACTTTCAGCACACGTCTTCCAACATACACTATATTTACAAAAGTATGTGGACACCCCTTCAAGTTAGTGGATTCTGCTATTTCAGCCACACCCGTTGCTGACAAGTGTATAAAATCAAGCACACAGCCATGCAATCTCCATAGACAAACATTGGCAGTAGAGTGGCCTTACTGAAGCGTTCATTGACTTTCAACGTGGCACCATCATAGGATGCCACCTTTCCAACAAGTCAGTTTGTCAAATTCCTGCCCTGCTAGAGCTGCTCTGGTCAACTGTAAGCGCTGTTATTGTGAAGTGTAAAACGTCTAGGAGCAACAACGGCTCAGCCGCGAAGTGGAAAGCCACACAAGCTCACAGAACGGGAGTGCTGAAGCGCGTACTACTGAGTTCCAAACTGCCTCTGGAAGCAACATCAGCACAAGAACGGTTCGTCAGGAGCTTCATGAAATGGGTTTCCATGGCTGAGCAGCCGCACACAAGCCTAAGATCACCATGCGCAATGCCAAGCGCCGGCTGGAGTGGTGTAAAGCTCACCGCCAATGGACACTGGAGAAGTGGAAACGCATTCTCTGGAGTGATGAATCACGCTTCACCATCTGGCAGTACGACAAACTAATTTGGGATTGGTGGATGCCAGGAGAACGTTACCTGCCCGAATGAATAGTGCCAACTGTAAAGATTGGTGGAGGAGGAATAGGGGTCTGGGGCTGTTTTTCATGGTTCAGGCTCCTTAGTTCCAGTGAAGGGAAATCTTAACGCTACAGCATACAATGACATTCTAGACGATTCTGTGCTTCCAACTTTGTGGCAAAAGTTTGGGGAAGGCCCTTTACTGTTTCAGCATGACAATGCCCCCGTGCACAAAGCGAGGTCCAGACAGAAATGGTTTGTCGAGATCGGTGTGGAAGAACTTGACTGGCCTGCACAGAGCTCTGAGCTCAACCCCATCAAACACCTTTGGGATGAATTGGAACGGCGACTGCGATCCAGGCCTAATCGCCCAACATCAGTGTCCGACTAATGCTCTTGTGGCTGAATGGAAGCAAGTCCCTGCAGCAATGTTCCAACATCTAGTGGAAAGCATTCCCAGAAGAGTGGAGACTATTATAGCAGCAAATGGGGGACCAACTCCATATGAATGCCCATGACTTTGGAATAAGATGTTCGATGAGCATGTGTCCTGTCCACACACTTTTGGTCATGTAGTGTCTGTCAGGTAGACATACAGTACATACTACTCACACACTTAAGTTTGTATTGCATATTTGATATATTTACCTGAATTCGTTACCACCCCACTAAATGTAACTATTTAAATGTTTTGAAAAAGTTGCAATAAAGGGAGAACAATGCATATTTTCATTAACCTTCTATTATAGTCCTTCAGTAGCCTTCAACTGCTCTTAAACACTAGTAAAACTAAATGCATGCTTTTCAATCGAACGCTGCTAGCACCCGCCCACCCGACTAGAATCACCACTCTCGACGGGTCTGACCTAGAGTATGTGGACAACTACAAATATCTAGGTGTCTGGTTAGACTGTAAACTCAACTTCCAGACTCACATAAAGAATCTCCAATCCAAAGTTAAATCTAGAATCGGCTTCCTATTTCGCAACAAAGCCTCCTTCACTCATCCTGCCAAACATGCCCTCGTAAAACTGACTATCCTACCGATCCTTGACTTCGGCGATGTCATTTACAAAATAGCCTCCAACACTCTACTCAGCAAATTGGATGTAGTCTATCACAGTGCCATCCGTTTTGTCTCCAAAGCCCCATACACTACCCACCACTGTGACCTGTACGCTCTTGTTGGCTGGTCCTCACTACATGTCCGTCGTCAAACCCACTGGCTCCAGGCCATCTATAAATCACTGCTAGGCAAATCCCCGCCTTATCTTAGCTCATTGGTCACCATAGCAGCACCCACCCGTAGTCTGCGATCCAGCAGGTATATCTCACTGGTCATTCCCAAAGCCAACACCTCCTTTGGCCGCCATTCCTTCCAGTTCTCTGCTGCCAATGACTGGAACGAATTGCAAAAATCTCTGAAGCTGGAGACTCTTATCTCCCTCAATAACTTTACGCATCAGTTGTCAGAGCACCTTACCGATCACTGCACCTGTACACAGCCCATCTGAAATTAGCCCACCCAACTACCTCATCCCTATATTGTTATTTATTTTGCTCTTTTGCACCCCAGTATCTCTATTTGCACATAATCTCTTGCACATCTAGCATTCCAGTGTTAATACTATTGTAATTATTCTGCACTATAGCCTATTTATTGCCTTACCTCCATAACTTGCTACATTTGCACACACTGTATATATATCTTCTGTTGTATTTCTGACTTTATGTTTTTTTACCCCATATGTAACTCTGTGTTGTTTTTATTGCACTACTTTGCTTTATCTTGGCCAGGTCGCAGTTGTAAATGAGAACCTGTTCTCAACTGGCTTACCTGGTTAAATAAAGGTGAAATAAAAAATAAAAAATAGTCATTTTATGAATTTTATTTGCATACAAAATTAACAAAATAGTAAAAACAGGATTTTTTACCTGATTTTCAAAACCTTTACATTTCATTGAGAGAAATATAATATCTATTGCTTTCTGTAAAATGTTCAATGTTGATTGTATGAATCTGAAACTTGTTGATTGATTTAATTACCTATGCATCTCATTAATTATGTTGTTAGATTTTTTTATTATCACTTTACCCATCTTTATTTTGGTAAAATAACAAGCGTTTCAGATAAATAGAGGACTCTAGATGGAAATAATTCGTATAGACATTGCCATTGAGGTCTTCCACCATTTAAATGTAGCCAACTGGGTGGGGATTCCTATAGGTTGGGAGTGATCAGCCAATGATCGGAGAGCATTGTTTTCTTCAAATTGGGTTGCTTATGGTTTGTAAACCAAAGACTAAGGTAATATCCAGGAGCCAAGACCAAGATATATACCAGGACATTGGTCCCAAGATCCAGACCTAGACCCAGTGAGTTGAGACCATAACAAGTTAAAGCCCGAATTTATGTTATCTTGAGTGCTCTCAAGACCAAGACCACTAGATCAAAAGTCCCTAGGCCCTTTCTTCAATTGTAAGAAACTCAAGTAAACTAAACTCGAGTACAGTGGAAAATATTAGAGTAGGGTACAGTACAGTAGAGCACAGAACAGTAGCACCGTACAGTAGAGTATAGTACAATATAGTAAAGTACAGTACAGTTTAGCACATTATAGATGTCTATGTTTTGCCAAAGATATGGCCAAAAAATTGCAGGGTAGGAACTGGTAGGAACATCTCAATACTCTAAATTTTTCCTGAAGTGTGCACTTGTCTACTACCCACATAGTGGTCCTCCTTAGCTCAGTTGCATGGCGCATGCAACATAAAATTGGATATAGCCTCAATGGCACTGCACGTGCTGTCACTGAATCGTTAAAGGTACAGATACAAGGATGAGACCTCTATATACAGTATCTCTACGGGGTCAATTGTTTCGGTTGTGACCGTTTCAGTTTGGACAATTTTGATTTATTTTGGATTTTAAAGACTCCCCATAGCTAACATATGGCTGGCTATCTTTCATTTGGATAGATGTACATCCCAGCAAACATACACTACCAGTCACAAGTTTGGACACACCTACTCATTCAAGGGTTTTTCTTTATTTTTACATTGTAGAATAATAGCGAAGACATCAACACTATGACATAACACATATGGAATCATGCAGTAACCAAAAAAGTGTTAAACAAATCTAAATATATTTTATATTTGAGATTCTTCAAATAGCCACCCTTTGCCTTGATGACAGCTTTGCACAGTCTTGGCATTCTCTCAACCAGCTTCATGAGGTAGTCACCTGGAATGCATTTCAATTAACAGGTGTGCCTTCTTAAAAGATAACTTGTGGAATTTATTTCCTTCTTAATGCGTTTGAGCCAATCAGTTGTGTTGTGACAAGGTAGGGGGTATACAGAAGATGGCCCTATTTGGTAAAAGTCCAAATTATGGCAAGAACAGCTCAAATAAGCAAAAAGAAACGACAGTCCATCATTACTTTAAGACAGGAAGGTCAGTCAATACGGAGCATTTCAAGAACTTTGAAAGTGCAGTCGCAAAAACCATCTAGCGCTATGATGAAACTGGCTCTCATGAGGACCGCCAAAGAAATGGAAGACCCAGAGTTACCTCTGCTGCAGAGGATACGTTCATTAGAGTTACCAGCCTCAGAAATTGCAGCCCAAATAAATGCTTCACAGAGTTCAAGTCACAGACACATCTCAACATCAACTGTTCAGAGGGGACTGCGTGAATCAGGCCTTCATGGTCTAATTGCTGCAAAGAAACCACTACTAAAGGACACCAATAAGATGAAGAGACCTGCTTGGGCCAAGAAACACGAGCAATGGACATTAGACCGGTGGAAATGTGTCCTTTGGTCTGGAGTCCAAATTGGAGATTTTTCTTTACAACCGCTGTGTCTTTGTGAGATGCGGTGTGGGTGAACGGATGATCTCCGCATGTGTAGTTCCCATCGTAAAGCATGGAGGAGGAGGTGTTATGGTGTGGGGGTGCTTTGCTGGTGACACTATCTGTGATTTATTTAGAATTCAAGGCACACTTAACCAGCGAGGCTACCACAGCATTCTGCAGCGATACGCCTTCCCATCTGGTTTGGGCTTAGTGGGACTATCATTTGTTTTTCAACAGGACAATGACCCAACACACCTCCAGGCTGTGTAAGGGCTATTTTGCCAAGAAGGAGAGTGATGTAGTGCTGCATCAGATGACCTGGCCCCCACAATCCCCCGACCTCAACCCAACTGAGATGGTTTGGGATGAGTTGGACCGCAGAGTGAAGGAAAAGCAGCCAAAAAGTGCTCAGCATATGTGGGAACTCCTTCAAGACTGTTGGAAAAGCATTCCAGGTGAAGCTGGTTGAGAGAATGCCAAGATTGTGCAAAGCTGTCATCAAGGCAAAGGGTGGCTATTAGAAGAATCTCAAATATAAAATATATTTAGATTTGTTTAACACTTTTTTGGTTACTACATGATTCCATATGTGTTATTTCATAGTTTGTATGTCTTCACTATTATTCTACAGTGTAGAAAATAGTAAAAATAAAGAAAAACCCTTGAATGAGTAGGTGTGTCCAAACGTTTGACTGTTACTGTATATTTTAGTCCCAAAACCATACTTTACATATTTCTTGATATATTAGATGTTCGGTAGTGACACTTCTTAAAAATACATTAATATTTACCAACTTGTTAACTCATTTTCTCCTAAATGTTTGCAGAAAGACTACTCACCATGTGGCCATAGTGGAGATGGGTGCAATCCCATCACCTGGTGATATTTGTAGGGTTGTAGCTTAAAGCACATTCATTCTACAGTCTTTTAAAGTTTGTATTTCGGTAGTGGGGACAGCGTTTTTCAGAAAAATATGTTTAAAAATAAATAAAACAAATAATTAGATCAGTATCATTCAATGTAATAATAGAACAACTCAAGATGTATTTTTTTTAATGAAGTTAAGGAATCAGGGTTTGGGACAGCCACTTCTCAATAGAAATAGGTGTATAAACAATGACATTGTACAATATTAATTTAACAATATATTTGATATTGCCTTGGATTGAATTAGAACACATCAAGTTGCAAATAAAGGTCCTAAGTTTGGAGACTTAACTGTTTAAAAAAAGGGTCTTCCCAGCAGCATACAGGCCATCACAGGGAAATACCCAGTCAGCAGATGGGTGCAATGTTCCATCAAATATTTCTCAGCACTGAGAGAATTTCAGGTCTGCTGAGCGCATACTTGAACATTGTGAAAATTCTGTGCAACTTCCGGCAGGCATTTACTGTGAACACTGAGGCTGTACCCACCTTAATTTACTGTTTTAACAGTGGCCAAGTAGGCTGCTGTGGCTACTTGATCATAATGTATGCCTACCAGAGTGGCCTACCATAAAATAACTATGGAGAAAATGCATCCCATAACATTTTAACATGGAAATAACGGTTCTATCATTCAGCCTACAGTAGCAGCCAATGTGTGGTGTTCAACGTAGGCCTACATTCCATGAGACTTTTATTTTATTTTTTTACATGCAGGGCTTGACATTAACCTGTTTATCCACTTGTTCTTCAGACAAAGAGGTGACTGAACATTTTGTTGTGTTGTTTGATGCAAGAAACCACTTTACAAAATAAAATGCATTATTATTCCCATACCATTATTACAGAGAATCAGACAAATTATGCTACCCTCTGCCTATTGGCTAATTAGCATATTCACGCCTGTCTCAAAATACAACACTGCCCCTTTAAGACATAAAAAAAGCTCTTAACCTGACTCGCTTTTCAAAGACGGCTAGAAATGTTCACATTTTGTGCACTTGTAGGAAGCAATCACTCCCACATTTCCGACTATAAATTATCTATAACTGGGCTAATAACTCACTAACTAGCAAAGGATATGAACAAATGTGCACACGTGGCTACATGCAGCTCTCGCTTTGAGCTCAAAACAAGCGCATAATAAATTGCGACCGCTCATGCTGTAAAACAATCCAGTTCAAAGTGAATGGCACAAATCCATATACGGCAATGGTTTATTTGCATATAGGCCTACTGCAGCTCTGATTGGTTATGGTGCACCGGTCTGTGTAGAGTACGGGCCTGAGTCAATGCAAAATAATCCTACTCCGATGCGCTCTGCCTACAACAAAATCTCTTGCATAGTTCGTTTTATTTTGGTATGTTGCATTGAAAGTGGCTAATATTGCGTTGATTCGATCACAATTCCCACAGTATAGGGAAACGTTGATAGTGTAATGGGGAAAACTCTAGAAAATTGAGTGAAGTTCAATCTCGTGCTTCTCTGCGTGGGCTGATATTTCTTCTGCACGGCAGTCTCTGGGAGCTCCCAGGGCAGCTTAGAGGGAACATTGGATGGGTGGTGAGTGTTGGATGGGTTGGGGAGTTGGGGGGTGTAGCCCTATACAACTCTGACCTTCTATTGGCAGGTGTAGAGCAGGGGGGAGGGGTCACCGTCTATGCCCCAAATGGCACCCTATCCCCCATAGTGCACTACTTTTGACCAGAACCCAATGGGGCCTGGTCAAAAGTAGTGCACTATATTGGAAATAGGGTGCCATTTGAGATTAACCCTATGTGTCACTATGTGTGACAGCAGAAGTCAAGGGCACTGTCACAGTCTGAAGTCCAGAGGCCCAACCTCCCTCCCTGCCCCCACCCCCACCTCTGACTCATACTATAGACATGTGCCAAGAGACATTACACTACTAGACATGTGACAGCGGTGTGCACACACACAAACTTCTCAATTTCCTAATAGTCTATTTATGAGCTCAGTGTAGTATCCCACAAGTTAACCACGACTTCCAATGGCTCCACTACTAATCCTTACAGGAAATGGATATCCTGTATTTAAATTAATATAAGCCCTGTATGTATTTCAACTGGAGCCAAGACAAAGCTTATCGTAAAGGGGGAATCCAAACCACAGTCAATGTTATGTTTTTCTAATGACCACTAGATGGCAGCATTGTAGTGAATGGAGAACTCCCTAAGTGGGTGTGTTATTCCCTCAGAGCTGGGTTTAATGGTGCAGCCAGGCCTCCCCCATCCCGTCCTCAAGATTCCTCTGAGGTTACGACATATTCTATCATGTCTATAAAAGGAGGTTGTTTTTGGTTCTGGGAAAAAGTGTGGATGTGAAATATGTGGAGGCCAGCACGCCCATTTCTGGGTTTCTTGCAGAAGGAATGTATTAATTGCTTGTGTTCAACTGCAATTCACTCAAATTATAATTGATAACATATGTTAGTGACTTAGCATTTTATCCTATTTCCTTCCTTTTTGTCTGTTTGTAGGAAAAGATAAGCTACAATTCAACTTTTCAGACTTTATACTTTCTGAGCATGTCTGTGTGTTGGGGGAGGAGGAGTGACAACTTCCATTTCAAGAATGGTCCCAGACAGGGGCCAAACACACACACACTTAGGGGTAACCTAAGATGCCTGCTGTTTTGAGTATGAGATGAAAATCATACCAGAGGAAATGTGAGCCTCATACACAGAACCCCATGTCTGTTCACACACACACACACTCATGGTAAGCAAAGCTACAATTAAACTTTTCAGACTCTTTAGACTTTCAGAGATTGTCTGTGTGTTGGGGGGAGCGGGGGGAGGCACAACTGTGTGTGTGTGTGAGAGAGAGTGTGAGTGTGTGTGTGTGTAAGGCAAGGCCAGTTTCAGGTTGTTTCCTGCAAACCCATAGAAAGAGGAAGGCTACATTTCACAGGAAGGAGTCTCATTCCAAAACCAGAACAAAGAACACACCAGGCACTATACCTATTTGTTTAGTTGTGGACCTTGATCAGGGCACTTCACTTACTAACTATCAAACCACTGCCATATAGGCCTAAACATACAGGTAACTGCCAAAATAAAGGAAACACCAACATAAAGTGTCTTAATAGGGTGTTAGGACACCACGAGCTGACAGAACAGCGTCAATTAACCTTGGCATAGATTCTACAAGTGTCTGGAACTCTACTGAAGGTATGCGACACCATTCTTCCACAAGAAATTCCATAATTTTGTGTTTTGTTGATGGTGGTGGAAAACGCTGTCTCAGGTGCCGCTCCAGAATCTTCCCACCAGTGTTCAATTGGGTTGATCTGGTGACTGAGACACACACACACACACCCTTTAAACACCCTTTGCTCCTTTGAGACCCCTCTTGCAAAGTCACTGAGATCTTGTCTTCTAGCCATGGTAGACAAAATAATAGGCAACTGGGCATTTTTATACATGACCCTAAGCATGATGGGATGTTAATTGCTTACTTAACTCAATAACCACACCTGTGTGGAAGCACCTGCTTTCAATATACTTTGTATCCCTCATTTACTCAAGTGTTTCCTTTATTTTGGAAGTTATCTGTATCTCTGCATGGCTCTTCATATAATTAAGTATATTCAAAGGCCAAATATTCACTGTAGCATTTTAACACATATACCATCCAAGCTTCAAAACACACCCGTCTATTGAGTCACATGTCAACTTCTCTGACCACTCCATCATCAACTTCTATAAATATCAACACTTAGATAAAATAAACAAGTTACAATCCCCATTCTAATCTATTCATTAATTTAATCATTTCAATAGCAGCCCTAAGGGATTCCAGGGCTTTTCAGGAGGAGGGCTAACTCGGTTTAGATGACTATTTATAGTTTAAAGCCGTCAGAAACAAAGGAAGCTGGAGGACCCATTTCATTACAATGGGGATCCTGTCTGCATGGTTAGGGAAAGGAAAGGTGATACCTAGTCAGTTGCACAACTGAATGCATTCAACTGAAATGTGTCTTCCGCATTTAACCCACCCTCTGAATCAGAGTGGTGCATGGGGCTGACTTAATCAACATCATAGGCACCCGGGGAGCAGTTGCTGTTGGGGGTTAACTGCCTTGTTCAAGGGCAGAACGACTGATTTTTACCTTGCCGGCTCTGGGATTCGATCCAGCAACCTTCCAGTGGCCCAATGCTCATACCCGCTAGGCTACCGGCCGCCCAGTTAGTTGCTCATTTTCTTCTCTCATGTGACTTTAACAGTATTTTCCATGGAGACCACCCTTGACAACACTATTTACACTGTATATACAATGGTCCATTTAGCTTTGTTTCATTTGATCCCACTTTTGGGATAAGTGAGTATATCACTTGCTGACAGTGACAGCATTTGACAGAACTTGAATGGTGAGACGTTGAAACAAGGCATGGGGTCCAGTAGTATTTGAATGTGCTAGCTTCTTGTCCTCTAATTGCACGCCCTCCACCACATGGCTGCTTTGCTTAGAGCTGTAAATGAATGACCTCATGGTGCTGTGACCTCACAGTGGTGTAGGACTACTTTTAACATGCAGCTACAGGGCCAGCATTCCAAATGGCACCCTATTCCCTATGGGCCCTGGTCAAAAGTAGTGCACTTTATACGGAATAGGGTGTCATTTGGGACACAGAAGGGAGAGCTATGCTGACAATTCTCCCTCCACATCCCTCACAGACTGCAGCTCTGTCTGAGAGAGTGGACTGGCCTGTTAGTAAGTTATACCTGCCATGGTGTCATTACCGACATACAGTAAAATGCTACTAACATGTACGCATACACGTGCCATACAAGCACGGGCGTGCGCATATACGCACACTCCCTCCCTCCCTCCCTCCATCCCTGAAAGCGGCCACCTGGCTCTCTCTCGCCACAACAATGAGGCCTTCATGTTAATGTTCCCTAGTGCCTGACTGTTTGTGCTGCCTGGTCTGCGTCCAAAATGGCATCCTATTCCCAGGGCCTGGTCAAAAGTAGTGCACTAGGGAATAGGGTGTCATTTGAGACGCATCCATGGTTGTCATCGCTCGAGGTACAGAGCTGTTTTCAAGCCTGACATAGGAGCCATCAACAGCCAAGTAAACCTTAGCCTTTAGGCTCTCACTGACACAATTAACTTCATGATATAGATACCTTTCCCCTCCTCCTCTACCTCCTCCCTTCATCCCTGGTAATTGGTGATCACATTAAAAAACTGTTGCCTCTAATCTATTAGCCTATTTGGACTGATAACAAGGTGTATGTCCCAAATGGCACCCTATTCCCTTTATAGTGCACTACTTTTTACCAGGACTCATAGAGCTCTGGTCAAAAGTAGTGCACACTCTAGGGAATAGGGGTGCCATTTGGGACGCCAACACAAGAATACAATACAGATGCCCATTTACTGTTAATGTTTACTGTAACTGTAGACAACACCCTCTGAGTAAACCAATATCAGAGCTCATTTCCCTACCATACCTACAGTTGAAGTCGGAAGTTTACATACACTTAGGTTGGAGTCATTAAAACTCATTTTTCAACCACTCCACAAATGTCTTGTTAACAAACTATAGTTTTGGCAAGTTGGTTAGGACATCTACTTTGTGCATGACACAAGTAATTTTTCCAACAATTGTTTACAGACAGATCATTTAACTTATAATTCACTGTATCACAATTCCAGTGGGTCAGAAGTTGACATACACTAAGTTGACTGTGCCTTTAAACAGCTTGGAAAATTCCAGAAAATGATGTCATGGCTTTAGAAGCTTCTGATAGGCTAATTGACATCATTTGAGTCAATTGGAGGTGTACCTGTGGATGTATTTCAAGGCCTACCTTCAAACTCAGTGCCTCTTTGCTTGACATCATGGGAAAATCAAAAGAAATCAGCCAAGACCTCAGAAAAAAAATGGTAGACCTCCACAAGTCTGGTTCATCCTTGGGAGCAATTTCCAAACGCCTGAAGGTACCACGTTCATCTGTACAAACAATAGTACGCAAGTATAAACACCATGGGACCACGCAGCCGTCATACCGCTCAGGAAGGAGCCGCGTTCTGTCTCCTAGAGATGAACGTACTTTGGTGCGAAAAGTGCAAATAAATCCCAGAACAACAGCAAAGGACCTTGTGAAGATGCTGGAGGAAACAGGTACAAAAGTATCTATATCCACAGTAAAACGAGTCCTATATCGACATAACCTGAAAGGCCGCTCAGCAAGGAAGAAGCCACTGCTCCAAAACCGCCATAAAAAAGCCAGACTACGATTTGCAACTGCACATGGGGACAAAGATCTTACTTTTTGGAGAAATGTCCTCTGGTCTGATGAAACAAAAATAGAACTGTTTGGCCATAATGACCATCATTATGTTTGGAGGAAAAAGGAGGTTGCTTGCAAGCCAAAGCACACCATCCCAACCGTGAAGCACGGGGGTGGCAGCATCATGCTGTGGGGGTGCTTTGCTGGAGGAGGGATTGGTGGACTTCACAAAATAGATGGCATCATGAGGAAGGAAAATTATGTGGATATATTGAAGCAACATCTCAAAACATCAGTCATGAAGTTAAAGCTTGGTCGCAAATGGGTCTTCCAAATGGACAATGACCCCAAGCATACTTCCAAAGTTGTGACAAAATGGCTTAAGGACAACAAAGTCAAGGTATTGGAGTGGCCATCACAAAGCCCTGACCTCAATCCTATAGAACATTTGTGGGCAGAACTGAAAAAGCGTGTGCGAGCAAGGAGGCCTACAAACCTGACTCAGTTACACCAGCTCTGTCAGGAGGAATGGGCCAAAATTCACCCAACCTATTGTGGGAAGCTTGTGGAAGGCTACCCGAAACGTTTGACCCAAGTTAAACAACATAAAGGCAATGCTACCAAATACTAATTGAGTGTATGTAAACTTCTGACCCACTGGGAATGTAATGAAAGAAATAAAAGCTTAAATAAATCATTCTCTCTACTATTATTCTGACATTTCACATTCTTAAAATAAAGTGGTGATCCTAACTGACCTAAGACAGGGAGTTTAAATGTATTTGGCTAAGGTGTATGTAAACTTCCGACTTCAACTGTATATTTAAACAATAAGGCATGAGGGGGTGTGGTATATGGCCAATATACCACTGCTAAGGGCTGTTCATAAGCACCACGCAACACGGAGTGTCTGGATCCAGCCCTTAGCCGTGGTATATTGGCCATATACCACAAACCCCTGAGGTGCCTTATTGCTATTATAAACTGATTACCAACGTAATTAGAGCAGTAAAAATAAATGTTTTGTCATACCCGTGGTATACGGTCTGATATACCACGGCTGTCAGCCAATCAGCATTCAGGGCTGGAACCACACAGTTTATAATGGGGGTTAGGCCAGTTCTAAACCACACCAGGATTGGGTGATATTTGGGGAGACCTCTTCTACGATATGTTACTCCAAATGTCGAGATATCCGATATAATCATTTAGCGCCGCTAATGACAAAATAATCCCAGACTGTGCAAATTGTGAAAAAATTAGGCTTAGTTCATTCATTTAGACTTCATTTTCAGCATATTAATACAGGCTAACTGATAAATCTGCACAGTTTTGATTTGTAAAGTTCAAATAGAGTATAGTCTTGCACATCACAATACATTGTCCTGCTCTTCACAATATATCGTCAATATCAAATATACCGATATTATAGAGAGAGAGAGAGAGAGAGAGAGAGAGATAGAGAGAGAGAGAGAGAGAGAGAGAAGGGTGTGGTAGTGGTGACAGAAGCCATGTAATCGAGACCATTACAAGCAGGGTTTGCAATCATGCAGTTGTCACTTACTTCAAACCTGGAATGTCCAGCATATTTGTGAGGCCTGTCCAGTTTATATCCAGCAACTGGAAGAAAAAAAGAAAACATGCCTTAAGTGACAGAGAAAAAACTACAACTTTGATAACCCCATACAAGGAGCACATGTTGTGGACCACAAACACAAGTCATTTTACAGTCATTTAATTTAGTAAGTGATTCCACAAATAGTTCCTGTCCTTGTACTCTGAACTTAGGGGGAGCATTCTCAATAGGAGGGCAGCAGCCTGCTCCATGGCCCTGCTAATCAATAAGACTGGCTATTTCAGTACACTAATGCAGAGAGGACATGTACAGTGAGGGAAAAAAGTATTTGATCCCCTGCTGATTTTGTACGTTTGCCCACTGACAAATACATGAATAGTCTGTAATTTTAATGGTAGGTTTATTTGAACAGTAAGAGACAGAATAACAACAAAAAAATCCAGAAAAAATGTTATATATTGATTTGCAATTTAATGAGGGAAATAAGTATTTGACCCCTCTGCAAAACATGACTTAGTACTTGGTGGCAAAACCCTTGTTGCCAATCACAGAGGTCAGACGTTTCTTGTAGTTGGCCACAAGGTTTGCACACATCTCAGGAGGGATTTTGTTCCACTCCTCTTTGCAGATCTTCTCCAAGTCATTAAGGTTTCGAGGCTGACGTTTGGCAACTCGAACCTTCAGCTCCCCACATATTTTCTATGGGATTAAGGTCTGGAGACTGGCTAGGCCACTCCAGGACCTTAATGTGCTTCTTCTTGAGCCACTCCTTTGTTGCCTTGGCCGTGTGTTTTGGGTCATTGTCATGCTGGAATACCCATCCATGACCCATTTTCAATGCTCTGGCTGAGGGAAAGATTTGACGGTACATGGCCCCGTCCATCGTCCTTTTGATGCGGTGAAGTTGTCCTGTCCCCTTAGCAGAAAAACACCCCCAAAGCATAATGTTTCCACCTCCATGTTTGATGGTGGGGATGGTGTTGTTGGGGTCATAGGCAGCATTCCTCCTCCTCCAAACACGGCGAGTTGAGTTGATGCCAAAGAGCTCGATTTTGGTCTCATCTGACCACAACACTTTCACTCAGTTCTCCTCTGAATCATTCAGATGTTCATTGGCAAACTTCAGACGGCCCTGTATATGTGCTTTCTTGAGCAGGGGGACCTTGCGGGCGCTGCAGGATTTCAGTCCTTCATGGCGTAGTGTGTTACCAATTGTTTTCTTGGTGACTATGGTCCCAGCTGCCTTGAGATCATTGACAAGATCCTCCCATGTAGTTCTGGGCTGATTCCTCACCATTCTCATGATCATTGCAACTCCACGAGGTGAGATCTTGCATGGAGCCCCAGGCCGAGGGAGATTGACAGTTCTTTTGTGTTTCTTCCATTTGCAAATAATCGCACCAACTGTTGTCACCTTCTCACCAAGCTGCTTGGCGATGGTCTTGTAGCCCATTCCAGCCTTGTGTAGGTCTACAATCTTGTCCCTGACATCCTTGGAGAGCTATTTGGTCTTGGCCATGGTGGAGAGTTTGGAATCTTATTGATTGATTGCTTCTGTGGACAAGTATCTTTTATACAGGTAACAAACTGAGATTAGGAGCACTCCATTTAAGAGCGCGCTCCTAATCTCAGCTCGTTACCTGTATAAAAGACACCTGGGAGCCAGAAATCTTTCTGATTGAGAGGGGGTCAAATACTTATTTCCCTCATTAAAATTCATATCAATTTATAACATTTTTGACATGTGTTTTTCTGGATGTCTTTGTTGTTATTCTGTCTCTCGCTGTTCAAATAAACCTACCATTAAAATTATAGATTGATAATTTCTTTGTCAGTGGGCAAACGTAGAAAATCAGCAGGGGATCAAATACTTTTTTCCCTCACTGCCTTGGTCTGCATCACTGGTCTCCTAAGCACTGAATGATACAGCTACTGCAGCACATCTTTATGAGGTTTTAATCCAGCTACTGTTCTCATCTATCTAATCATTGTAATCAAATGTAATGAACTGATTAGAAATTAGGACAGAATAGCCAGACACAATAGGTGCAATAGCAATCGTTCAAATTGTTACATACAAGTTTAACAAAGCATAAACATTTGCAAAACTGAGAAAATAGAGACTAATCGACATTTGACATTGATGAGTTAGCTCCGTTTTAATAGGGGAAGCAATAGAGTAGACATATAGTAAATCAAAGTCAAAACAAAGGGAGTAATTTCAAAGCACTTTAAGATCGGTTCTCAGTGAATCATTATCAGGAGAAGAGGAATTTCCGATGGCTAAAATGCAGTAACTTGGAAGCAGCTCAACAACTAATGAAACCTCTCAGTCCATGATGAGTACAGTTTCCTAATAAAACAACAGTGCATTGATTCACAGCAGAATAAAAAAAAACTCCCCAAAATACATTAATTTGAGTTGGTTCTAACTGACATTTCCAGAGCAAGGCAATGATTTATACTTTACTATAGAAGACATTATCTACTTTTATCATGTCATATCTTTGAAGACCGCTAAAAATGACTGCTCCAGTATTTGGTAAAACAGTTATTACTTTGACCTGAACAGTGAACACGGACATTAACTTTAAATGTGCTGTCTAGAGCAGAAATGAGCATTGTCAAAAATAATGCAATACAGTACAGGCCCGGGAAACAGATATAAGGCTTCTAAGATTCTCACTACAAAAGGGCAAACTATACCGTATCAGTAACTGTTGACGTAATCAATACGTCATTTAGCAGACGCTCTTATCCAGGGAGGACTGTAGGCTGTACAGTATGTGGCAAGCATAGTCTGTATCCCAAATGGCACCCTTTTCCATATGTAGTCCTTTGCACTACTGTTGACCAGGGCTTTTGACCAGGGAATAAAGTGCCCTTTGTGTGGATTGGATTACAAAACAAATATTGTAACGCCAACTAGAAGTTTTCAGGACAATGAGTCTGTGAGCAGCAACAGTGCACTGCAGCATCACAATACTACACAGATTGCAAAACCACTCCGCACAATGACAAACATTTAGTAGGCTCAGGAATGAGTGTAGGCTTGGACAGTGTTCCAGGGTCATAAACGAAGGAATCAAACTCTCTGAGAATGCTGTGTCGTGACAGTCTATGGGAACGTAGCCCCGTGACCTGGCTAGCTATGTCACTGGGTTAGTCTGGCTGGTATGGTGAAACACCATGGGTGCACCCCAAATGGCACCCTATTCCCTATATAGTGCATTACTTTTGCATCCATTTGGGATGCAGCCCATGTCTTTCTCTGTGCCAGTAACCAAGCCAGGAGTCCTGCCCACTGAATCATAGGGCACTGAATGTCTCCATCTAGGCTACACTCTCTTACTTTATGAGTCATAGTTGCAATCAAGAAAACTTTATGATAGTTAAGCAATCTATGCCCATTACCTGGCACATCAAATTAACTTGTTTTCAGACAACTTAGTGTTCACATGATCTAAAAACAAAACCATTGACAGACATAGTGTTTGAATAGGGAGTGTAGGCCTAAACCAATTCTAGATAAGAATCAAGGCATTGTCACGTTAACGTTACCTACCACATCATTTAGGATAGTCGAAACCTATTTACCATAAAAGGACTGTTATTAGTCAAATCAAATCACATTTTATTGGTCGCATCCACATATTTAGCAGATGTTATTGCAGGTGTAGTGAAATGCTTGTGTTCCTAGCTCCAACAGTCTACCAGTTGTCATGGTTACAAAATAAAGTAAACCAAACATGGGGTAATATGATGTCATGTCTCATGTGCCAGTGATCAGGGATATGCCTCTGAACTGTGGGATGTGTGTGTGTGTGTGTGTGTGTCAGGGGACACAGGGTGAGATTACGTTTCTAACTTTGTTCACGTTTAAGCTGCTCACTTAAGAATATCTGCAAAGCTGAGAAACAGGCCATTAAGCAGATCAGAATGTCAACATGTGGGTGATTTAAGATGAGGATTTGACTTGTAGCATACATAAGCACAGACGTGTTTAGTATGAAGAATAAAGCTGTTCAAGTACAGCTGAAAAATACCGTATAAATGTGTGTCTAAGGAACGAGAGAGCGTAATATAGCCTACGGCTAAATTCAGGCTTGTCAATCATTTATGTTTGTTCAATTGTCAACTGACATTTTCAAGAGACAAGAGGTGACATTCAAACATGTATTCTCCCACATCAAAACAAGTAGCTGCAGGCACAAGCTTTGACACGATTGTAGTCTGACTGCAACACAGCAACATTCTTTCCCATAAAGCTCTAATATAACCTAGCCCTAGCTTCACAAGCTGAACACGACACATTGTGCTGTAGTGTGATCATATTATTCAACTTTTAAAATCAATCCAGAGAACTCAGGCATCCTCAATTCTGGTAACATGAGCCCAAGCCAACCCAGTAATGTTTAAATGAGAAGCATGCCTACATACAACCAGGAAGAGTGAACTGAACCGACTTCACAGAGAACAAAGGCTGATTCACACCTACAGTGAGCTCCGAAAGTATTGGGACAGTGACTCATTTTTAGTTTTTCTTTGCCCTCCAGCAATTTGAAATTATACAATAACTATGAGGTTAAAGTGCAGACTGTCAGCTTTAATTTGAGGGTATTTCACCATTTAGAAATTACAGCACTTTTTGTACATAGCCCTCCCATTTTAGGTGACCAAAAGTATTGGGACAAATTCACTTACATGTGTATTAAAGTAGTAAAAAGTTAAGTATTTGGTCCCATATTCATCGCACGCAATGACTACATCAACCTTGTGACTCTACACATTTGTTGGATAGAAATGAATGGTAAATAATGTATTGTGTCATTTTGGAGTCACTTTCTGTCACGTTCGTTGAAGGACGGGTCAGACCAAGGCGCAGCGTGAAATGCGTACATGTTTATTAAACTAAATAAACACACGACAAAACAATAAACCAACGACACGTGAAGTCCTAAGGTAACACACAACAAACCTTACACGGAACAAGATCCCACATCCCACTAGTGCCAATAGGCTGCCTAAGTATGGTCCCCAATCAGAGACAACGAGCGACAGCTGCCTCTGATTGGGAACCACACCGGCCAACATAGATCCACACATACTAGAATATACAACATAGAACATACACAACAAAGAATATACACACCCTGACTCAACATATAAGCATCCCCTGAGTCAGGGCGTGACAGTACCCCCCCAAAGGTGCGGACTCCGACCGCACAACATAAACATAACAGGGTAGGGGCCGGGTGGGCAATCCGCCTCGGAGGCGGATCCGGCTCGGGGCGTGACGACCTCTCACTCTCCGCCTCCCTGTTGCGCCCCTGGTCTGGTCTGGAGCCGCTGCTTCCCCTCTCCTTCCTCCCACCCTACGCCAGGCCCTGTCTGGACCCTGGTGTGGGAGACCCCGAACCTGGAGAGGGGCTGACGTCATGGTCTGGACTGGAGCAGCTGACCGGAGCTGGATCAGGCACCGGTGGAGCGGACTGCTCTGGCTCCGGAGTGGAACGGCTGACCGGAACTGGATCAGGCACCGGTGGAGCGGACTGCTCTGGCTCCGGAGTGGAGCAGCTGACCGGTGCGGATCAGGCACCGGTGGAACGGGCACGGGCCGTGCCGGACTGGACAAACGCACCACTGGTCTGGTGCGAGGGGCAGGAACGGGCCGGGCCGGACTGGCGACGCGCACCACTGGCTTGGTGCGAGGAGCAGGAACAGGCCGGGCCGGGCTGGCGACGCGCACCACTGGCTTGGTGCGAGGAGCAGGAACAGGCCGGGCCAGGCTGGCGACGCGCACCACTGGCTTGGTGCGAGGAGCAGGAACAGGACGGGCCGGGCTGGCTTGGTGCGAGGAGCAGGAACAGGCCGGGCCGGGCTGGCGACGCGCACCACTGGCTTGGTGCGAGGAGCAGGAACGGGCCGGGCCGGGCTGGTGACGCGCATCACAGGCTTGGTGCGGGGAGCAGGAACGGGTCGGGCCGTACTGGGAACACGCACCACTTGCTTGGTGCGAGGAGCAGGACTGGGTTCCTTTATTAACCCCCGCTCCTTCTGCTGCCTAACCAGCTCCTCTCACCGTGCCTCTACACTTTCCTTCTCCCTCTTAGCCTCCTGTAGCACCTCCCTCTGACCAAATAACTCCTGCTCCCTCTGAACCAATAGCCCCCGTAACATGGTGGCCTCCTCTCCTAACCTGCAGACCCGCCCTTTAACGGCCTCCTGCTGCCTCGTCGTCCACACCATGTGCCCCCGTCGTCGGCACTGTTGGCGCCGTTTCTCCTCTCTATACCGGGCCACCACTGTCTCCTACCAAGGACGGCGATCCATCCCAGCCTGAATCTCCTCCCAAGTCCAGGATCCCTTACCATCCAGGATCTCCTCCCAGGTCCAGGCTGTCTTCTCCTGAACACGCTGCTTGGTCCTCGTTTGGTGGGATCTTCTGTCACGTTCGTTGAAGGATGGGTCAGACCAAGGCGCAGCGTGAAATGCGTACATGTTTATTAAACTAAATAAACACACGACAAAACAATAAACCAACGACACGTGAAGTCCTAAGGTAACACACAACAAACCTTACACGGAACAAGATCCCACAACCCACTAGTGCCAATAGATCCCACAACCCACTAGTGCTAAGTATGGTCCCCAATCAGAGACAACGAACGACAGGTGCCTCTGATTGGGAACCACACCGGCCAACATAGAACCATACATACTAGATCGACAAACAAAGACCAAACATAACAAGGAATATACACACCCTGACTCAACATATAAGCGTCCCCTGAGTCAGGGCGTGACACTTTCATTGTAAATAAGAATAGAATATGTTTCTAAACACCTCTACATTAATGTGGATGCTACCATGATTACAGATAATCCTGAATGAATCTTGAATAATGATGAGTGAGAAAGTTAGACGCACAAATATCATACCCCCCCCAAAAATGCTAACGTCTCCTGTTATTGTAATGGTGAGAGGTTAGCGTATGAATTTTGTTTGTGTGTAACTTTCTCAATCATCATTATTCACAAGCTTGATGTAGTCGTGGCATGCTATGAATATGGGACCAAATACATAACTTTTTACTACTTTAATAAACATAAATGAATTTTTAACAATACTTTTGGTCCCTTAAAATGGGGGGACTATGTACAAAAAGTTCTGTAATTTCTAAACGGTTCACCTGATATGTATGAAAATACCCTCAAATGAAAGCTAACCTCATAGCCATTGTATCATTTCAAATCCAAAATGCTACAGTAAAGAGCCAAAACAAAAAAAATGGTGTCACTGTCCCAAAACATTTGGAGCTCACTGTATATCTCCTTGTTGTCTTGTCATGCAATGAGTGGCACATGATGCCTTACCCAAAATTACACAACAAAAAAACAGGACACACGAAGGAACGTTAGATAGTGATGACGAGAAGGAACATCAGATTGTGAGCATCAGGTGACGATGCTCTCAGCATTTGTTGAAGACATGTGCAGGGCATTTATATGATTTTCCTGTCTCCTGATATTGACCCAAATGAGTTTTACTGCCTGTTTTACAGCCTGCTCCATTGTTCTGACTGACTGCAGTAGGGATATAAAAAGCAGTGGCTGGCTGACTGACACTTAGGCTGCACAGCAAAACAAAGCACTGCCGGCTTTTATCTGGTGAGGCAGGGCGGGGTGGTAGAGTGTGCGTGCACTTCCTGCGTTCACCACTTAGTCTTCAGAATAGACCACACCACCACACCGTGCCAGCGTTTACAGGAACAGACAAACATGAACAGGCAGGGGCTTCTGCACAGGCACTGTCACTAAGCCTTCTGTATAACACAGGAACATACTGTACCTGGCTATACTAACTAGGCTAAGTCATAACTCCTAACAACAACCACCTAGTACCAGTAAAAAACATTGATTATTCAAAGATAATTGTTTTAACAACAACAACATTCAGTGCTGTTTATAGATGAGAGCACATGATAGGTATCTCGCTCTAATTACATGGATTGAACAAATATCCTCCGTTAGCCAGTGGAAAGAAAAGGTGGTTTCCTATTTGGTTATGACCGCATGGCAAGAGAATGCTGCAGCATCAAACCGTCCTGGTGAGGCCTTTTAGCCTGGCTGCACTGCTCTACTTTACTTTCAAACACACAGCCGCTACGCTACGTAACCACAGCAACGCCGCTCATGTTTCCACCACACTCTTGGCACGCTCCTCCCTCGCCCCCAGCCAGTCCTAAAGGGTGTCAGATACCTCACTGATGGTAGCTTGGAGAACAAACATGTACACAACTCAGGGGACAGATAGACTGTCTGTCAGGGTAGAGGGGGAGTATGAAGGTATGGCGCTTTACAGGTAATAGCTTCTTCAAGGGGCGGTAAATTCAATACAAATTCGAGACAGGGTAGAGGGGTGGACCTTTCATTCATTCTTAAGAAAGTCTCCATGACTGGACTACAGGTCAGAGGCCATCGTGGAGAAGCACCATGGGCTCTATAGCAGTTTAGCCTGGTCCCAGATCTGTCAAGACAGCACAAACAGATCTTGGACCAGGTTAAAAACAGTCCAGCTGAGGAGAAGTAGCAGAGCTCCAGAGGCTAAAATAAGACTTAGACGTCTGCCACTCGAAAGGACTCTCATTACACCCCAGTCTTTATCCCAGGACTTCTAACCAGACCTCTGACTACATCAGGGGGAAATAACAGATAGTTACTGTGGATCTGCCTCAGCCTGGTCTGTGTTTATAGGGATGATGACAGTCTCTATCCCTGATGCAACATATCTATTCAAACGGTACTGTATTATACTATATACAGTGGGGAAAAAAAGTATTTAGTCAGCCACCAATTGTGCAAGTTCTCCCACTTAAAAAGATGAGAGAGGCCTGTAATTTTCATCATAGGTACACGTCAACTATGACAGACAAAATGAGGGGAAAAAATCCAGAAAATCACATTGTAGGATTTTTAATGAATTTATTTGCAAATTATGGTGGAAAATAAGTATTTGGTCAATAACAAAAGTTTCTCAATACTTTGTTATATACCCTTTGTTGGCAATGACACAGGTCAAACGTTTTCTGTAAGTCTTCACAAGGTTTTCACACACTGTTGCTGGTATTTTGGCCCATTCCTCCATGCAGATCTCCTCTAGAGCAGTGATGTTTTGGGGCTGTCGCTGGGCAACACAGACTTTCAACTCCCTCCAAAGATTTTCTATGGGGTTGAGATCAGGAGACTGGCTAGGCCACTCCAGGACCTTGAAATGCTTCTTACGAAGCCACTCCTTCATTGCCCGGGCGGTGTGTTTGGGATCATTGTCATGCTGAAAGACCCAGCCACGTTTCATCTTCAATGCCCTTGCTGATGGAAGGAGGTTTTCACTCAAAATCTCACGATACATGGCCCCATTCATTCGTTCCTTTACACGGATCAGTCGTCCTGGTCCCTTTGCAGAAAAACAGCCCAAAAGCATGATGTTTCCACCCCCATGCTTCACAGTAGGTATGGTGTTCTTTGGATGCAACTCAGCATTCTTTGTCCTCCAAACACGACGAGTTGAGTTTTTACCAAAAAGTTCTATTTTGGTTTCATCTGACCATATGACATTCTCCCAATCCTCTTCTGGATCATCCAAATGCACTCTAGCAAACTTCAGACAGGCCTGGACATTTACTGGCTTAAGCAGGCGGACACGTCCTGCACTGCAGGATTTGAGTCCCTGGCGGCGTAGTGTGTTACTGATGGTAGGCTTTGTTACTTTGGTCCCAGCTCTCTGCAGGTCATTCACTAGGTCCCCCCGTGTGGTTCTGGGATTTTTGCTCACCGTTCTTGTGATCATTTTGACCCTACGGGGTGAGATCTTGCGTGGAGCCCCAGATCGAGGGAGATTATCAGTGGTCTTGTATGTCTTCCATTTCCTAATAATTGCTCCCACAGTTGATTTCTTCAAACCAAGCTGCTTACCTATTGCAGATTCAGTCTTCCCAGCCTGGTGCAGGTCTACAATTTTGTTTCTGGTGTCCTTTGTCAGCTCTTTGGTCTTGGCCATAGTGGAGTTTGGAGTGTGACTGTTTGAGGTTGTGGACAGGTGTCTTTTATACTGATAACAAGTTCAAACAGATGCCATTAATACAGGTAACGAGTGGAGGACAGAGGAGCCTCTTAAAGAAGAAGTTACAGGTCTGTGAGAGCCAGAAATCTTGCTTGTTTGTAGGTGACCAAATACTTATTTTCCACCATAATTTGCAAATAAATTCATAAAAAATCCTACAATGTGATTTTCTGGATTTTTTTTTCTCAATTTGTCTTTCATAGTTGACGTGTACCTATGATGAAAATTACAGGCCTCTCTCATCTTTTTAAGTGGGAGAACTTGCACAAATAGTGGCTGACTAAATACTTTTTTGCCCCACTGTAAGTGCATCACAGCTCTGATACTAACAGTGAATTGGATTATGTTTTACAATGCGCGTACAGTTATAGACTGGCTGGGAAAATACGGGATACTATTGTAGTCATCAAGACTAGCAGGACTGGACTGTAAGGGTTGAGTCTGTGTGAAGATTATCAAGCTTAACTAACTGGCAAGAAATAATTCATTGGACCAACACTAACTGACTCTAGTTCATTAAGGGGTTAAGATGTATTAGGCCAAGAGGGGAGAGTTATATAAGATGGTATAGACTGGATGTCCGGCTGATTTACCATAGACCTTTAATGAGTAATAATAAGGCAATGAGCATAGTTCCTCATGGAGGAAAATCTATATAAATCCTACCCAATGAGAAAGACGCAGCCTCGACTGCATAAGAGCACAGAGGAGACTTAAAATAAAGCCAATCTGCTCTCCCCACCCAGACACAGAGGCGATATGACCCAGACACAGAGGCGATACTTCCCAGACACAGAGCCTAGACGACCCATATCTTGAGAATAACAACACAGCAATGCTCTTTGAGACCCATAACTTCACATCACTAAAAATAAAACATCTATTGTCAAAAAGATAAATGACGAGTGACTACTGGACTGGTAATCAACACAGTACCTGAAACTATTATTACCTGTCTAGGAAACATATCCAAGCTAATGTACCACAGTTCATTATCTTTTCAGTTGTAATGAATCCAACAGGAAGCTACAGTGCCCCCTCCTTGTCCTTTTACTGGAATGTATCATCCTCCTAAGGGACCCCATATCAAACCCTCAATCTATAACAGATGCTGACCCACAGGAAGACAGCAGTTAAAGAGCAGGGTGTGGACTAAGGCTGTGTCTCAAATGGCACACTATTCCCTATAAAGTGCACTACTTTTGTCCAGGGCCCATCAAAAGTAGTGCACTATATAGGGAATTGGTAGCCATTTGGGTTGCAGCCTAATTATAATTAGGCTTGGTGGGAATGGGCTTTCTGGAACAGGAGCTCAATACAAAGTCCTTCACATCCAGCTGTCTGCTGACCATTGCCTCCTCAGAGGTTCAAACCACTGCAGTAGTTCTAGAATATGTCAAAATGGCTGCCAATACTTACAGGCTTCTTCAGGAAGAAAACGGACAGGGCTCCGATCAATGGCATGTCTCCGAGCAGGGGCTCCATCACGACCCTCAAGACACCGTGAAGCTGCAGAAAACATGCCAATCAGTGACTTTTTGATTGCAGAGCATTGTAACATACAATTTAGAGGTATCTTTCTTATTACATAGGAAACAGTGGTACAATTCACTTTTGATTAATCTATTTCACAAATTACTGTCTTCTTGTTGTCTCAAGGAAAAGTCTGACCTGAGTTGTATTACTAAATGTTCCACTGCTTCCATTAGTATCCATCCTGACTGAAGTGACTCTTTACTCAGAAATGTAGAGACTGTCTAGAGCTCCAAATTTGGTTGCAAGCGCAAGCAATTAAACACAGAGTCATCCCTTAATTTTAAATGTAAAGTCCTCATATTTGGGGACCCTATTAGATTTTTTTATTCAATTCAGTCTGGTATGAGAACGGTAGTCCCTATCTGCAAAAGCAGGGTATCTGCGGAAAGCTGAGTATCTTGGCTGTTGATCGGTGACTTCAAATCTTTGGTGTGACTTACTACCATATATGGGCATACATTTATAAGGGCAGTCCGAGCCGATGACTTCATTTCAAGATGGCTGCTACCTACATTCCGGTTAGAGTTGTGAAGCATAAACAAAATAAACATGGAATACGTTGATACACACCAAAAGCCACGACTCCACAGATCATGAGGATATCTTATTTGTCTGCCTGTGACCTACCGTTATTGATCACCAGCCCCGAGAGTCAAAATGTTAATTTTACACAACGTTTTCACCAAACATCTTACAAGGTAAGCTTCGATGTGGTCTGTGTTTGAGCTATAGCTACATGGGGGGTATCAAATTAATCCTTATGTCGGTAGGAACAAATCTAGCCTATTGCCAATGTTATCTGATGATGTATGACTTAAAGGCAACATCGAATGTCCACCGAGTGACTATATCTTTGCGCATCAAAAATATAATGTTGCCTGCTTACGCGCTGTAGCCATCCATTACACAGGGGATTGGCTACTATGCCACCTTGACAGTCTTGTAGCCAATGAGATAAGCTTTCCAGTGATATGCAGTTGACCTGGGTGGGACAAAGCAAGGCTTAGAACCTTTTAACATCCAGTGTGCAAAAACAGTGCAATTACCACATTCGGACACTTTGGAGAGGTTGAAAGGACACTTGAATGTACCCTGGATACCCCATAACACCACCACAATGTTTGAGTGAGTATGTAATAGCACTGGAATTATCTAATTTATAGACATATGCCACCTTGGAGAAGTTTAGGGACACTTGGAAACGTCCCGTGACCACACCTGACACCACTTACTAAAACATCTGCCCATTTCTAGTTGTTAGGTCTATCAATCCCATTTTTTTCTGAAATTGTTCACATGTTGTGGAAGCCATCTGATGTGTTTCCAGCTCTAGTCATCAATAATTTAGTTATAGCTTGTCAATGAAAGATAATCAAAAACGGTTATTTTGTGTGTGCTTGATCTTGTGTATTCTGAACTATGTGTGTAACTCCTATCTATCTTCTGATAATTTCCTTATAATCTCCCAGATGTCTTCTTTCCAAATATTCATGTCAGAATCATGTAATTACACATGAATAGCAGTTACTTTTGGGTATGTCTATTTAGGTGGAAATCTACATTTTGCCATTACATTTATTAAATTGCAATGGAAATATAGGACATTTTCGATAACCATACTCCTATGTAGTCTTATTCTCACGTTTACTCAAAACAGTAGCTTGATCAGAATCAAAACAAAACAAATGTGGCAATCCGCAATTTCGTATAAGGGCTTCATTCTGAACACAACTGGTTACAGTGAAAAGCCAGTCATCTTTTAGGAGCCAACAAAACCGCCTGAAATCTGGACTGATTCCAAAACAGCCTACTAGAATGGACACATAGACCACCTGAGACTGCAGTCTCAAATCTGGCCAATCAGAATGGGTTCGCAATGATTACTGTAGGCTACCCTGCATACAACTGTCTCTCTCTCTGATCTCTGAACAGCAAATATGCTGGTGGTTTGTAAGGGCAACCTCTTGCAATATTGTATAATCACCTTTCACACTTATTTATGAAGTGTCAACATATTATGTGAAGAAAGAAAAACCAGTAGTTTACATAATGCATAGCCAAATATGGAGGTGGCTAATGGTTAGTCTCATGCACCAGACAGATTTTCATCAAGCTTGGGAGGTCTGGTATATCAACTTAATAGTGGGAGAAAGTCACAACATTTCTGAATAGAAAGTAGTGTTTGGTATACAAAAAATGACTCTACCTGTATACTTTTTATACCAGCTCTGCAGTAGTATTTCTTGATGTCAACATCAATCTCTGTATTCCCAACAAAGCTGAAAAGATCAACAAAACCAATATGTCTTGATATACAATGATATAAAAAAATAACAAGTATCTCCAAATTGAACCACAGTGCATGTGACTATACCTAATCTCCAGGTCCATTATAATCTGTCGTTTGTCCACATTCTCAGTGTACACTTTGACCCCGTTCACCCTTAGTGGCTGTAGAGAGAGAAGGAGAGAAAGATGAAGGGAGAGAGGGAGAGAGAGGGGGGAGAGGATAGGATGACAAAGCAGGACCCACTGGTTGACAGGTGACTCTGCATGCTCAAACCCAAAGAGGAAAACTGCTTGTCCAACCATACTTCAAGCATGTGTTCCCTAAGTTCCCTTACAAGGTTAACAAGTTTGAAAACTTACATGCAGGAAAAATTGCTGGACATTGTTGATATGGCTAATGACTGTAAACACAACAATAAACACCTATGAACTATATTATACAGACTAAACACCTACAGTATATAACAAGATATAGAACACTTTCCACACTGCTTGACATACCATTGGGAACATAACTAACAGTAACATTGACCGCATAACTCATCACTGGAAACATACATGCATATCTAAATGCCTCAGTCTCACCTTGTCCCCCATGTCGATCTTGGTGAAGCAGAAGGAGCTGAGGTGAGCGTTAGCCCCCTTCACAGCCGGCTCAATGGTCTCTCTGAACAGCTTGTCAACAAACTGACAGATGTACGGCCACATCTGTTTCACTGTCTGGGGAGGGAGACAGAGAGGAAGACTCAGGGTTACACAGGTCATATTCTCAAAGCTCAATATCTGCCAGAGACACTACACAGGTAATGGCCCTGTTCTCTGTATGGTTTGATTTAATAAGACTAACTGTTGAATTAAGATAAGAAATACTTTCTTAATCCCAGAGGGAAAATTCTTAGCATAATTTTGTCATAGATAACAGGTAGGAAATGCCCTCATAATTGCCTACCACACATACCATTACCTCAACTGACACATCTATTTGGTTTGGGTGTGGCCCTACTGTAGTTTATGGGCTCTACTTTAAGTACTGACGCATGAGCTCCTTACCACATAAGCCTACTACAAAAACAATAGCATCTATAACACTCCTGCAGAACAAATAGAGGTCATGAAAACAGACTTTTCTCGTTTTATTATCTAATGTGTCTTTAAAACATTGTGGACTAAATCCCTATAAGTCTGTTTTTTACAGTAGTAACTGTAAGAGTAATGGCTCCTCCCACTTCCTGGAGTTCGAAGGGTCCCCAGAGAGGCTGGTACTGGAGCTGGGTTAGCAGAGCTCCAGATAAGGGCCTATTTATAAGAGGCTGCTGCCCGCTCCCGCCCGCCTTCCTGCCTCCACACAGTAACAATTATCTAGAGCAGGGAAAGTTGGTATTAGACCGGGTTCAAATACTATTTGAAATCATTTCAAATACGTTATCTGTGCTTGACTGAGCTTGCCTGGCTTGATGGACCAATAGGATAGTCCCAAAACTGCAAAAACCATCTGGCACTCTAGGCAGTCTAGATCAAACGCTCAAAGTATTTGAACGATTTTCAACATATTTGAAAGATGGTCTTTGAACCCAGGTCTGGTTGGGGTACTGTAGGACACCGCACTGCAGTGAAGATGTTCAGTACCTTGTTGAGCCATTCCACTCTCTCCACATCTGGAAAATGAACCTGGAATGAAGAGAATAATGGCTCAGTTCATATTCGTTCAATATGTGGGCTGTATGAAGAGATGCTGTGGGGTAGATGAAAACAATGTCTCATTACTGGTTGGTCAACAGTGTTTGACATTGAAACAGACATTCAATAAAGACTATAGAAGCAATAGACAGTAACACAACTGACAGATTGACAGGATGAATCAAACCAAATGTGTCACATTCTTCGTAAACAGGTGTAGACTAACAGTGAAATGCTTACTTAAGGGCCCTTCCCAACAATGCAGAGATCTTTTTTTTTTTTATAATAGCAAAATAATAACAGAAGGAATAAATAGTAACGATAACTTGGCTATATAAACGGGATACACCCGTACCTTGAGTTGTATGATGATTGTATACTACTAATACAGTCTGATTACACCTATATGAAACATAACATTTCACTTTTGTTTGGTTTGGTAGTAGTGTTTTATGGCGCTATCCAGGTCAAGGTCCAGCTGGAGTCATCTCCCTGAACAATTCCTGTAATCGTTCAAGGCAAACCAGGCACTGTTACAGTACACAAAACAGCCCAAACAATATGAGAGCCCTCTGACATCTGCAGTACTGTACACAGCCCAGACACAGCAGAGTAGATAGACACAACCAGAGTAGATAGACACAACCAGAGTAGATAGACACAACCAGAGTAGATAGACACAACCAGAGTAGATAGACACAACCAGAGTAGATAGAAAACCCTTCCCACTTTTCTCCAAACAAAAACCTCAACATTAAATCTTCTTATTATAGCGCTTTGATATCTGTGCCTGTCTAGGAAAGACGAGGAAGGTGAAGATGAAAATTATGATGATGATGTGGATTTAAAGCAGCACATCTAAAGCTCAGAGAGGAGGAAAGGGCTGATTCTGAGCATTAATTCACAGACAAGGCTGAAGTAATTGGTGTCTCAGGCTGACAGCATGAGAACAGCACCAAGCCGCTCAGAGATTGCTGAGGCAGGGAGTCGACTGTGACAGATACGCAGTTGGATTTACATAACTACCAGACAGACAGAGCTTCTGCAGGCAGGCTTAGGCTGAGTCCCAAATGGTACACTATTCCCTATATATAGTGCACTACTTTTGTAGTAGTGCAATATATAGGGGATAGGGCGCCTTTGGGAATGCACAAACAGTCACGCCTCACACACACACTCGGCTGTTCAGAGAGCAACCCTGGGCTCATATTGAGGCAGAGCGAGTAATTCAATGTGCACTGGGCAGGGTCCTTATGATGTACTCGACACAGTCTACATCAGTTCATCGATGAAAGGAACCATATCATAGTAGTGGTGAAGTGTTACTTAAACTAGCATTGATGTGTATTGATGTGTATGTTTGGCTCATCTGTAAGAGTCTCAGCATGACTCCCTGTCCTGTCAAAATAAAGGCTAAAGCCCTAGTGTAGTCAAAAAATGAGATTTTCATGTGTTTTATATACACTGAGTATACAAAATATTAGGAAGACCTTCCGAATATTGAGTTGCACCCCCCTTTGCCCTTAGATCAGTCTGAGTTCGTCAGGGAATGGACTCAACAAGGTCTCGAAAGCATTCCACAAGGATGCTGGCCCAGGTTGACCCCAATGCTTCACACAGTTGTGCCAAGTTGTCCTTTGGGTGGTGGACCATTCTTGATGCACACGGGAAACTGTTGAGCGTGAAAAACCCAGCAGAATTACAGTTCTTAACACATTCAAACCAGTACGCCTGGCACCTACTAACATACTCCCTTCAAAGGCACTTAAATATTTTGTCTTTATTTAACCTGTCTCCTCCCGTTCATCTACACTAATTGAAGTGGATTTAACAAGTGACATCAATAAGGGATCATAGCTTTCACCTGGTCAGTCTATGTCAGGGTTCCACAACTGGATGCCCAAGGTGGTTTTATTTGGCCCCCCCAAAAAAAAAAAATTGTTGGTGTGGAATTTTCATTGTTGGACATAGCAAACACCAGGAAATCAGCGCCAAGTGATTTTAATTTAAGAAATCTGTTTCCAAGTATTCCCACGCATAATTGAGAGACACGTGATAGTATACAAATGTAAGCAAGGTTTGAAATTATTATGTTTTAGTGAAACATTATATCTGTTTGGGCTTCTTGCGGTCAATTTGCAGTCTACAAGTTATTTATAATTATGTTCCGGGCCCGCGACCATCCCCTCCAGAAAAGAAAATCTAGTTGATGATCCTTGGTCTATGTCATGGAAATAGTTCCTAATGTTTTGTACACTCAGTGTATATTTCCACACTACGAGGTTGGAATAATACTGTGAAAATAATGAGTGTAAGAGTTGTTTGAAAAGAGCGCCTGAAACTTCACCCTGTTTTGGTGGGATGGAGTTTTGGCCTGCCTGGTGACACCACCAGGCAGTAAATTAGTTAAGAAAGAGAGTACCAAACCACTCTGCCAATAACAGCTTGTTTTCTGTTTCCCCCTCCCCACTCAGACCACTACCAGACAGTCGTAGCAAAATTCTTGCTTGAGAAATTGCTCTCGCTAAGAAGCTATTTTCGTTTCTTTTTTGACTGTAAGATCATCTGTTTATAAAACACAATACCATTAACTCAAACCCAAATAGCCTGGCATAAGTCTGCATAATATTGTACAATCAGATTTCTTTGTTTTCCTTGACAACTCCGATGCTGTGACACAACCTTCAGTGGCACGTTGTCAGACCACTTTTCGCTCCTTTTTAGGGTCTGCAGACAAACAATAGAGGTTGCCTAGCAGCATATTCCAGCCTGCCTTGAGAGTGAGAGATCCCACACAGCACAGCTAGTGGAAAAGAAAAGCAGAGGTTCACAGTAATTCCTCACGGGAGGAAAGCCAGCAGCTCAGCTCTGAGTCATTGTCAAGCTATTTCCTGGTTTGACTGAACAGTCAGTCTGGTGGAATATGGTTTCCAACTAACAGACTCACAGTGCGTCAGCTTTAGTTCCCCGAACAACACACCACAGTCAACAACAGAGTAGCCTGAATAACAAAACGGTCATGGAGCTATGTCTTATCACTGTATGTAAAAATAAACTAATGCACAGGGCCTATCTCACATCTCAGCAGCCATGAAGTGGAGCAATGCGGTCATCCCTCTCCTTATGACAGCTCATGGGAGAATCAAGCAGGGATGTGTCCCAAATGGCACCCTATTCCCCATATAGTGCTTAGAGCCCTGGTTAAAAGAACTGCAATAAGGAATAGGGTGCCATTTGGGAAGTAGCCCTTCTGACAGCCCACGGGAGTCGTGCTGGACTGGTGGAATCACAATCCCACAGAACAGCTGTTTAGAAATCCAGACCATGGCAGCTGGCTAGGGGTAATCGGCTCCTTCACTCACACATTATGCAATACCATACTATCAGTGGACATGTACCACTACAGGAGTAATTTACAACATTAACCAACCTGTTTGACTAAATAGATGTTCTATGGGATTATACAAAAAACGTTCAACTATTCATTCTATGAAGGGGAGGGAAACAGTATAATAACAAAAAATGAAATTGTAATATACTGTATAGGGCTAGACACGAATATACACTAACTATCTTGCTCTTACCAGCTATTTACATTTTGTTGGGTAGGAGAGAATAGAACATGTGACTGGTGTTGCCCTCAGAATAGTGAATTTGTGACAGAGGTCAGTATTATTATAGCCTCGTACGAACCATCCTGATCTCGCAAGCTTAAGACGAGGCTAATATTATTACATCAGATTGCCATGGCTTCATCAAAATAAAAGGTCCTAGTGCCATGAAACTATCACACACTCATATCTTCTGTTCTGTTCTGTTACTAGGTCAAAGGTCAGTAGCAGTAACCGTGTCAGAGGCATTACAGATCATCAGATCAAAAGTGACAGCTCCAACTTCCAAGGGAGATTCTCATTTGTCCTCTCTCCTCTGTCCTCTCTCCTCCGTAACCCGGAAACCGATAAGTGGTTGAGGAGAGAGTCAATTCGTTAATAGGTGAACAAATTAAGCTGCTCCCCTCCTTCATTACCTAATTCAACAGAGGATGCACAAGAGTATCCTCGTGGCAGGTAGAGCGGAAGTGTTTTATAATCATCCACATCCCCTTTAAAATCAGCTGTTTTCTCAAAGGAGAAAAGCATGCATACATATAAAATGTCTTGCACAACGAGCTACAGTATATTTGTTTTGATCATTTTACACATTTATTTTGGGATTCCACCCCTGTAAACGTCATTTGCTTGATGACGAACAAGTGGAAAAGGAGAGTAATTTCATACAAGCGCATTTGTTTTCTCTCCTCGATTACCTTTGACCTTTTTCAAAAAGAGGCAAGGACAGGAAGGAGGAGTTAGCTAAACCAATTGAGAATCTCCCCAACTCAATCAGAAGGTGCACATTCAGCAATTTCTGTACCGTGGAAAATAGTCAGGCCAGTCAGATAGCAATATATCATTGGTGGACGGTCAATGGTGCAGGACAAGTCATACTATATCACAAGACAGTTGTTGCCACCTATATTTAGGCCCTTAGGGTGGTGTGGGGCGGGACCCATAATCACCACAGGAACAAGAGAGAGCCATTGTGGGGAGTATCAAATCACAAACAGACCGTCACAGGCCGTTGTGGCACATGATCTACAGCAGGGTTCTTCCGGTCCTGGAGGGCCGAAACACCTCTGTTTTTCATCCACTCCTTCTAATCAGGGGCTAATTCAGACCTGGGACACCAGGTGAGTGCAATTAACTACCAGGTAGAAATAAAAAACAGAAGTGTTTCGGCCCTCCAGGACCGGAATTGAAGAACCCTGATCTACAGTATGGCAATTCCATGGTAACAGAATTATGCCGAGATTCAGATTTTTCACTTTAAAATGTATACCAAACAAAAATCACTGATTTCAAAGTAAAACAAAACCATACAACTCTATGCACAAGGAGTCCTTTGAACAATTTCCACTAAAAGTTTTAGAAAAACTAATTTACAGGAAGAACTGTGCAGATACAAAATTTGGTAACAGAATAAAACCGAGGGAGATTTTACCATAATTCTATTACCAAACTTCGCATCCGTAAATGTTTTTTAAGCAGCGCATAGAGTTGTATGGTTTGTTAAACTTTGAAATCAATGGTTTTTGTTTGGCATACATTTTAAAGTGAAAAATCTGAGTCTCAGCGTAATTCCAATACCGTGGAATTGCCCAGTATGTACCATACCATGCCATCAGAGCAACTAGAGTAGAACTAGGTCATACACTACGTACAGTGCATTCAGAAAGTATTCAGACCCCTTTACTTTTTCCACATTTTGTTACAGCTTTATTCTAAAATGGATTAAATTATTTTTTCCCTCCTCATCAATCTACACACAATACCCCATAATGACAAAGCAAAAACAGGTTTTTGGCAATTTTACTCAGTACTTTGTTGAAGCACCTTTGGCAGCGATTACAGCCTTGAGTCTTCTTGGGTATGATGCTACAAGCTTGGCACACCTGTTTCTCCCATTCTTCTCGGCAGATCGTCTCAAGATCTGTCAGGTTGGATAGGGAGCGTCGCTCCAGAGATATTAGATCAGGTTCAAGTCCGGCCTCTGGCTGGCCCACTCAAGGACATTCAGAGACTTGTCCCGAAGCCACTCCTGCATAGTATTCGCTGTGTACTTAGGGTCGTTGTCCTGTTGGAAGGTGAACCTTCGCCCCAGTCTGAGGTCCTGAGCGCTCTGGAGCAGGTTTTCATCAAGGATCTCTGTACTTTGCTCCGTTCATCTTTCCCTCAGTCCTGATAAGTCTCCCAGTCCCTGCCACTGAAAAACATCTCCACAGCATGATGATACCACCACCATGCTTCACCGTAGGGATGGTGCCAGGTTTCCTCCAGACGTGACTCTTGGCATTCAGGCCAAAGAGTTCAATCTTGGTTTCATCAGACCAGAGAATCTTGTTTCTCATGGTCTGAGAGTCCTTTAGGTGCCTTTGGGCAAACTCAAAGCGGGCTGTCATGTGCCTTTTATTGAGGAGTGGCTTCCGTCTGGCCACTCTATCATAAAGACCTGATTGGTGGAGTGCTGCATAGATGGTTGTCCTTCTGGAAGGTTCTCCCATCTCCACAGAGGAACTCTGGAGCTCTGTCAGAGTGACCATCGGGTTCTTGGTCACCTCCCTGACCAAGGCCCTTCTCCCCCGATTGCTCAGTTTGGCCGGGCTGCCTGCTCTAGGAAGAGTCTCGGTGGTTCCAAACTTCTTCCATTTAAGAATGATGGAGGCCACTGTGTTCTTGGGAACCTTCAATTCTGCAGACATTTTTTGGTACCCTTCCCCAGATTATGTATGAAAAAATGAATGCACTCACTAACTGTAAGTCGCTCTGGAGCATCTGCTAAATGACTCAAATGTAAATGTAATCTGTGCCTCGACACAATCCCGTCTCGGAGCTCTACGGACAATTCCTTCGAACTCATGGCTTGGTTTTTGCTCTGACATGCACTGTCAACTGTGGGACCTTATTTAGACAGGTTTGTGCCTGTCACGATCGTTATAAACAGCGGACCAAGGCGCAGCGTGAAATGCGTACATCTTTTAATGCGTACTGTGCACAATACAACAAAAGTCCTAAGGTCATAAACACAAACCTACACGGAACAAGATCCCACAAATGACAAGTGCACAACAGGCTGCCTAAGTATGGTTCCCAATCAGAGACAACAAGACACAGCTGCCTCCGATTGGGAACCACCCCGGCCAACACAGAAATACACGATCTAGAAAAGAACACATAGAAAACAAAACATAGACACTACACATAGAAACTAACACCCTGGCTCAACATATAAGAGTCCCCAGAGCCAGGGCGTGACAGTACCCCCCCCAAAGGCGCGGACTGCGACCGCGCCAACTAAACCCAACAGGGGAGGGGCCGGGTGGGCATTCCGCCTCGGAGGCGGATCCGGCTCCGGGCGTGACCACCACCCTCTAACTAACCCCCCTTAGCGCCCCTGGTCTGGTCTGGCCCCGCTGGCTGGAGCTGGACTGGACATCGGTGGAGCGGATTGCTTAGGCTCCGGTGTGGAGCAGCTGACCGGTACCTGACCAGGCACCGGTGAAACAGGCACGGGCTGTGCCGGACTGACGATGCGCACCACAGGCTTGGTGCGGGGAGCAGGAATGGGCCGGACTGGGCTGACGACGCGCACCACTGGCTTGGTGCGGGGAGCAGGAACGGGCCGGACCGGGCTGACGACGCGCACCACTTTCTTGGTGCGGGGAGCAGGAACGGGCCGGACCGGGCTGACGACGCGCACCACTGGCTTGGTGCGGGGAGCAGGAACGGGCCGGACCGGGCTGACGACGCGCACCACTGGCTTGGTGCGGGGAGCAGGAACAGGCCGGACCGGGCTGGCGACGTGCACCACTGGCTTGGTGCGGGGAGCAGGAACAGGCCGGACCGGGCTGGCGACGCGCACCACAGGCTTGGTGCGAGGGGCAGGAACAGGCCGGGCCGGGCTGGGCTGGCGACGCGCACCCCAGGCTTGGTTCGAGGGGCAGGAACAGGCCGGGCCGGGCTGGCGACGCGCACCCCAGGCTTGGTGCGAGGGTCAGGAACAGGCCGGGCCGGGCTGGCGACGCGCACCACAGGCTTGGTGCGAGGGGCAGGAACAGGCCGGGCCGGGCTGGCGACGCGCATCACAGGCTTGGTGCGAGGGACAGGAACAGGCCGGACCGTACTGGGAACACACACCACTGGCCTTGTGCGGGGATCAGGAACGGGCCGGACCGGACTGGTAACACACCCCAGTACCTCTCGCCGTGCCTCTACACTCTCCTTCTCTCTAATGACCAATGGCCCCCGTAACCTGGTGGCCTTCTCTCCTAGTCCACAATCTCGCCCTGTAGCTGCCTCCAGCAGCCCCGTCGTCCATGCCGTGTGTCCCCCCCATAAAATGTCTTGGGGTTGCCTCTCGCCTGTCCGACGACGGCCCGGTTGGCACCGCTTCTCCTCTCCTGCCTGGGTCTCCCCCTTCATCGCCCTCCGGTAACGGACGGCCTCCTCCTCCGTTATCCTCCCCCAACCGAGGAGGACATCTATCAACGTTACCTCCGGCGTTTGCTCCTGGAAACGCTGCTTGGTCCTGTTTTGGTTTGATCTTCTGTCTCGGTCGTCGTAAGCAACGGACCAAGGCGCAGCGTGAAATGCGTACATCTTTTAATGCGTACTTTGCACAATACAACAAAACGAAACGTGAAGTCCTCGGTCATAAACACAAACCTACACGGAACAAGATCCCACAAATGACAAATGCACAACAGGCTGCCTAAGTATGGTTCCCAATCAGAGACAACAAGACAGCTGCCTCCGATTGGGAACCACCCCGGCCAACACAGAAATACACGATCTAGAAAAGAACACATAGAAAACAAAACATAGACACTACACATAGAAACTAACACCCTGGCTCAACATATAAGAGTCCCCAGAGCCAGGGCGTGACAGTGCCTTTCCAAATTATGTCCAATCAATTGAACTTACCACAGGTGGACTCCAATCAAGTTATAGAAACATCTCAAGGATGATCAATGGAAACAGGATGCATCTGATCTCAATTTCGAGTCTCATAACAAAGGGTCTGAATACTTACGTAAATAAGGTATTACAGTTTTTTATTTTGTATACATTTTATATATATAAAAACCTGTTTTCACTTTGTTATTATGGGAAAAAAATGTATTTTATTCCATTTTAGAATAAGGCTGTAACGTAACAAAATTTTGAAAAAGTCAAGCGGTCTGAATACTTTCTGAATGCACTGTCCTGTATACAGACAACTCAGGAAAGGGATTTAGTCTTATGGTAGTAAATACACATGGTAGGCTAATCTAAAAAGGATCTAAATCACCTTGTAAAACTAACTTCACATAGGCCTAATTGTCACCCCTTTCACTTCAGTGACAACACAAGCTTTCATTTGTTTGCTTAAGTTACTGATTTGCCTGGCTGCTTAGAAGACACTGTGTGTGTGTGACACACCTCTGTTCTTGTTAAGTCACAAAGCACAGGGCCACAAGCTAACAATACAGCCTAGAAAGTACAACAACATGATAGGCCTATTGGATTGTTTGAAATGTGATACAAATATCTATCCATTATCAACTCAATATCAAGCCTATAAAGGCTTTGAGATGCTTCCGTCACAGCTCCTGGTTTACTGTGTGTTCTTTCCCTACATCTCCCATAAACTCGTCACAGTCACATTATTCAGTGAGTGAGCACTGTGATGACTGGACTGTCTTTTTCTCCAAAGTCACTGACAGTCTCATCACTCCCATGAGAGGAGACCGTGTGTGGAGGTGGTCTGGGTCATATGCAACAGCAGCACATTACTTCTGTTTGAACAAATGACTGCAGGTTTGAACGAGTCAAACAAGGCTTATTCTCTACTCCCTTTAGTCAGAGGCAGAACTCAACAGCACAAGGCTCTGCTCAACACTCATCGCTCCCTTGAGACTGTGTAGGAAGTCACAGTCATATAAAACAGCACAGGACCTGTATATTTGAAAGAATATAACAAGGCCTATTCTCCCTGTAGTCAGAGGCAGAGCACAAGGCTCTCTGTTCAACACACGTTTTCAATTTTCCACTGGACTGATGGGCCCACCCTTTGGCACATCAAGGAGAGAGGCCCCACCCATGGCCATGATGACACACCATTAGAGAGCATAACAGAACAAGAGAGAGAAATCTCTCTACTCCATATAGACCATTGGACTAGACCACTGTTTCCCAAACTCGGTCCTCAGGACCCCAAGTGGTGCATGTTTTGGTTTTTGCCCTAGCACTACACAGATGATTCAAATAATCAACTAATCATCAAGCTTTAATTATTTGAATGAGCTGTGTATTGCTAGGGCAAAAACCAAAACATGCACCACTTGGGGTCCCGAGGACCGAGTTTGGGAAACGCTGGACTAGACCTATATTTTGAAGGATGTATGTTGCTACATTTTCACTGTTTTTTTTCTTGTCTCTTGACAGTTTTACCTAATTTCGGCCCAGCAATCCTGTTGTAAAATAATTAAAGGCCCAGTCAACCAGGGACAGACAGGCCAGTCATGACCTGACTTATGCTGACCTGAGCTCTGCCCTCAGATTTCAATCGTCTGTCTTTCAAAAGGTCTCAAACTTTGAATGCTGTGTAAATCATCTTTGTTTAGTGAAGACAAAAAGCTAATTTGCCAATCTTAAAACTGCCAACTACTACCTGCATTGTTTTTGTGCATTATGTTCACAAAGGATAACATAATGTGATAACATAAAGATTCATAGTATATCATATAATAGCAATATTCTAATATGTTAAAATGATATTCAAATGTACTGTACATATATACACTACCGGTCAAAAGTTTTAGAACACCTACTCATTCAAGGGTTTTTCTATATTTTTACATTGTAGAATAATAGTGAAGATATCAAAACTATGAAATAACACATATGAAATCATGTAGTAACCAAAGAAGTGTTAAACAAATCAAAACATATACTTTATATTTGAGATTCTTCAAATAGCCACCCTTCGCTTTGATGACAGCTTTGCACACTCTTGGCATTCTCTCAACCAGCTTCATGAGGTTGTCACCTGGAATGCATTTCAGTTAACAGGTGTGCCTTCTTAAAAGTTAATTTGTGGAATTTATTCCCTCTTAATGTGTTTGAGCCAATCAGTTGTGTTGTGAGAGGGTAGGGGGTATACAGAAGATAACCCTATTTGGTAAAAGACCAAGTCCATATTATGGCAAGAACAGCTCAAATAAGCAAAGAGAAACAACAGTCCATCATTACTTCAAGACATGAAGGTCAGTCAATCCGGAAAATGTCAAGAACTTTGAAAGTTTCTTCAAGTGCAGTCGCAAAAACCATCAAGCGCTATGATGAAACTGGCTCTCATGAGGACCGCCACAGGAATGGAAGACCCAGAGTTACCTCTGCTGCAGAGGATACATTTATTAGAGTTACCAGCCTCAGAAATTGCAGCCCAAATAAATGCAAATCCAAATAAATGTCCTACCGTAAAGCATGGAGGAGGAGGTGTTATGGTGTGGGGGTGCTTTGCTGGTGACACTGTCTGTGATTTATTTAGAATTAACCAGCATGGCTACCACAGCATTCTGCAGCGATACGCCATCCCATCTGGTATGGCCTAGTGGGACTTTCATTTGTTTTTCAACAGGACAATGACCCAACACACCTCCAGGCTGTGTAAGGGCTATTTTACCAAGAAGGAGAGTGATGGAGAGCTGCATCAGATGACATGGCCGCCACAATCCCCAGACCTCAACCAAATTGAGATGGTTTGGGATGAGTCGGACTGCAGAGTGAAGGAAAAGCAGCCAACAAGTGCTCAGCATATGTGGGAACTCCTTCAAAACTGTTAGAAAAGCATTCCAGGTGAAGCTGGTGAGATAATGCCAAGAGTGTGCAAAGCTGTCATCAAGGCAAAGAGTGGCTATTTGAAGAATCTCAAATTGAAAATATATTTTAATTTGTTTAACACTTTTGGGGTTACTACATGATTCTATAGGTGTCATTTCATAGTTTTGATATATTCATTAGTATTCTACAATGTAGAAAATAGTAAAAATAAAGAAAAACCATTGAATGAGTAGTTGTTCTAAAACTTTTGACCTTAAATTGCTGTGCCATCTGCTTTACTCTACTGAACCCTCGCTTATGATGTAGGCTTATTGCTCAAAGGATTATGACATGACATAAAAAAGATAGTTCAGGAAATGCTGCATAGAAACATATAGAAAATACAGTTCTTGGCAAGTGTGCTTCTTTCTGTCAACTTGTTTTAACAAAACAGTGCACAAAACTACCACACTGCCTATCAAGCCTCATTCCAGGCATATTTGCTGAGACAGCTAGCTTGCCTGTGTCCCAAGTGGCACCCTATTCCCCTTGTAGTGCACAGGGCCTATAGGACTCTGGTTAAATGTAGTGCACTATGTAGAGAATAGGGTGCCATTTGAGACACAAGCCTAGTCGTCTAGAGGAGGGCATGGCTCACCATCACCAAGGCCTGCTGCATTTTTAGAATAAAGCTCCAACAATTGTATCGTGGATCACATCACAATCAATGCCACCACTCCTGAAAGACAGTGCTTGCTCCTTCCTACTGATTTTCTAAATGTCAGACTCGGGAGCAGGTTTCTGACATTAACCAAGACAAGTTGTGTTTGGAATTGATTGTGCTATATACTTAACCAAAGCTGCCTGTACTTGCCCTAACTTAGAGTGAAATGTCAAAACCTGTCAGATCTACAATAAGTACCTATTACAAGGCAAATAAATACCTGAATAAGAGACTTGCTTGGGCCAAGAAACACAAGCAATGGACATTAGACCGTGGAAATGTGTCCTTTGGTCTGGAGTCCAAATTGGAGATTTTTGGTTCCAACCGCCGTGTCTTTGTGAGACGCGGTGTGGGTGAACAGATGATCTCTGCATGTGTATTTCCTACTGTAAAGCATGGAGGAGGAGGTGTTATGGTACTTTGCTGGTGACACTGTCTGTGATTTATTTAGTATTCAAGGCACACTTAACCAGCATGGCTACCACAGCATTCTGCAGCAATACACCATCCCATCTGGTTTGGGCTTAGTGGGACTATCAGACCCTTTGTTTAGAAAACCCTAAATTAGTTCAGGAGTAAAATGTGCCTTAACAAATCACATAATAAGTTACATTGAATCACTATGTGAAATAATAGGGGTTGACAACATTTTTGAATGACTAACCCTTCCGCTGTCCCCCATACATAGAACATCTGTATGGTCCCTCAGTCAAGTATTGAATTTCAAGCACAGATTCAACTACAAAGACCAGGGTCTTTCGAAAGCCTCAAAAGAAGGGCAGTGATTGGTAGATGGGTAACAATAATACATCTGACATTGAATATCTCTTTAAGCATGGTCAAGTTAATTATTATACTTTGGATGATGTATTAAACCATCCAGACACATCAAAGATACAGTCCTTCTGAACTGTGCTGCAGGACCGGAATGAAACTGCTCAGTTATGTTACCATGAGGCCATTGGTGATTTTAAAACAGCTAGAGTTCAATGGCTGTGATGGGAGAAAACTGAGGATGGATAAACAACATTGTAGTGACTCCACAATAATTACCTAAATGATAGAATATACAGAATAAAAATATTCGAAAACATTACTCTTGTATGCAATAAGGCACTAAAGTAATACTGCAACAACAACAAAAAACAGCAGAGGAATACACTTTTTGGCCTAAATGCAAAGCCTTATGTTTGGGCAAATCCAACACAACACATCACTGAGTAACTGCCTCCTTGTTTTCAAGCATGGTGGTGGCTGCATCATGGTATGGGTGTGCTTCACATCAGCAAATACTTTTCCAGGATAAAAATAAATGGGATGGAGCTAAGCACAGGCAAAATCCTAGAGGAAAACCTGCTTCAGTCTGCTTTACACCAGACTGGGAGAGGAATTCACCTTTCAGCAGGACAATAACCTACAACACAAGGACAAATCTACACTGAAGTTGCTTACCAAGAAGACAGTGAATGTTCCTCAATGGCCAAGTTACAGTTTTGACTTAAATCTGTTTGAAAATCCCCAACATCTTGACAGAGCATGAAGAATTTTGAGAGAAAAAAATATGGGCAAATATTGCACAATCCAGGTGTGCAAAGCTCTTATAGACAACCAAGAAGACTCACTGCTAATCGATGCCAAAGGTGTTTCTAACATGTATTGACACAGGGAGCTGAATACTTATGCAACAACTATATTTTAGTTATTCCATTTTTACTAATCTTAAAATTAAAATAAAAAATAATATCTTCCACTTTGACATTACAGAGTATTTTGCGTAAATTGTTGACAAAAAATGACAATTAAATACATTTGAATCCCACTTTGTAACACTTTGGTCCGAATACTTTTGCGAGGCACTGTATATGTACATAGCTACCTCAATTACCTCGTACCCCTGCACATCGACTCGGTATTGGTACTCCCTGTATATATAGGGGAGTACCATTCATCTCTAACAACTAACCGGGAAAAAGGTGGGTAACTTTAAAATGTTTAACTCAATAAAACAAAACAATGTCATTCTTACCCATGGTGGCATCTCAGAGGTCGCCAAATTTAGTTTGACAGTTTTCTCTTCATGCTCCAAGAACGCCAGGGCACGGGTCAGTCTGTTGTTTTTATGCCCTTGATTTCTTCTCCACCAGAAAAAGATGGCAAGCCCTATTAGAACCCAACTGAAGCTGAACTCAAAATATCCCAACACATAAATGGGAAAAATAACAATGAAGGTCTTGGCAAATTTCATCCACATCTGAGTGGCGTCTGTGACGGAGGACTGTGGCTCATCTTCCAGATCCACCGGGGCGATTTGGGTCGTAGGGCTGACTGGAGGGCTCGGCGTTGTCGGTCCATTTTCCTTGGCTATTGTTGGTCCTGTGGAAGTTGTCTTTCCAGAATCCGCTCCTTGAGCTCCACTGCTTGTCGCCGCCGCTCTTCTCATTTCCACTCTACAAATAAGTTTCACAATAGAGAGAGCAGAATAAGCGACACAGACATAAAACACTTTACAGACACAATGTATATTCTACAATGTAACAACAACACGCTGACAAACATGTTACAATGTTTCCAGTGTCAAAATGTTGGCACCACAGCCGCTGGAACGATTATGATTGATTTAATCATAGTACAGTTACTTCAGAGGGAAGGGCTCAGCTGAGTTGGTCGACCTGTCAATCGGCTCGGTGGTTTATGAAGGAGTTTCCTAACAGCCGCTATTTCACCAAACTTGTGTTAACCCTTTTTATTAAATAACATAAATACTCTGCCTCACCCGTTTCCGTATTCGACATCCGTAATCCTTTGAATTCAGTGTACCAGTCCCGTACACTGCATGGGTTCCTTCGACTATTTTAGTTTCCAACGTAGCACAATAATCCCTTCACCACATCCTGCTTCAAAGTGCGTTTTGCTTCTACAACACTGTATAACCAGCCCCCTTCTCATTTTTCTAACAGGAAATTGTCATTGTCAAGATAGGTCAAACACAGGGAGGGATTTTTTGAAAAGGAGATTTCCAAGCGCCATCTCGTGGATACTTGTCTCGTGCACACTCTTATAGCGCAATTACTTATTATTCTGAACCATACAGAATAGTCTAATAATCTATTTTCCCACATCAAACATTTGGGGTTGCTATAAAAGTATGGTAGTACAACTAGTAGAGAGTGTGGGATGCAGCAGTGGCTTTTTACTGTGTACTGTACCTGTCATCTATGATGGAGAAATCACACCGTCCACGAAACATAATGTACTAAGGTATTTTGTCCACTAGATGCCAATAGAGATTTGATACTGTACTGTAGCCTACCTATAGCCTATAACTAAGCACTATTGAATGTGCCAATTACCAGTAGGTAAGTTGGATGGTTAACAGTAGTTGAAACAGATGATTCATTACCAAGGTATAATCATACTGAAAGGATTAGAATGATATATTCCAATGATATAGGCTACAATATAGCGACCCTGTGATAGTATCACTGTCTATGCAGTATTACAACAGTCCATTGCCTATGCCCTATAGTATATTTTGAATGGGCTATCAGTTCTGAGAGGGCTCTATTACAAAGAGTTGACAGGACACCAGTCCCTGAATGGTAGAGTATGACAGAAAGCTGATGGGCTACGAATGTTGAAATGACAAAGTATACATCTCCAGCTACATTAGCCGTACAGGGAAGCTGATAGAGTATAGGTCTAGACCTCCTGAATAGAGCCCTCTAGTCAAGGTGACCATGCATCATATGACTGATGCAGTGGGGTAAATACAACCACCATTGAAACAAACTATCCTGTGGCATCCCTGTAGCCCTATTGACATTCACATCATCTGATACCATCTGATACTCTGATGCAGGGGCGGTGTGTTCAATAGGGCGATATGGGCGACGCACTGCCAAACGGGAAAAGGAAGGGATTTTTTTTCTAATCAATTATATCACGGCAACAGTAGTTATCAGTGTTGTAATCTAGACGTCTGATCTGCCACAGTGCCACTAAATGTCCAATCAGGCTAAAGTCGTGCTTCAAATGGCCCCCCCCCCTTTTGGGGCGATTTCAGTCAGGTTGAAAATCGCCCAGAAGTCTGTCATAGACTCCCATGTAAAATCTATTTTTTTCAAATATCAGAGCTTTCAATACAATCTCTATGGGTTTCTGAGGGCTTGCACTTACGCGCTTTCGTCATACGTAACATAACCATGAACGTAACTAAGAAAAGAGCGGGTAGCAGCGTCAATCAATTCACTACTACTATCAAAATGGCTAGGCTTCAGTGCAACTCGATTGTGTCTTTGAAAGAAGTTCCTTTTTGTCGGCGAACAAATGAAGATAAATTGGCAACGAAACAATTAGGACCTCCCAGACCAAATTTAATAATTCAACAGGTTTCTACTAAAGGGGGGAAGTCCTACACCCGAGGATTTTCCAAAAATTGGTACGAACGAAAAACCTGGCTAGCAGGCTGCGATGTAGCTAATGCAGTCTTCTGCTACCCCCTGCTTACTCTTTCACCCTGAAGGCGGCACGGCAGACAGCACCGCTTGGACAGCGACTGGTGTGTAACGGACATGCACCATCTTTCAGGAAAGATTAAGAAACATGAGCTGTCAAAGACCCACATGGATAGCTGTTTGAGATTGTCTGCTTTGGGGAGAGTGAACATTCCCACTCAACTGGATGAGGGATACAGGCTAGCTGTCCGCCGCCACAACGATGAGGTTAGTGTTGATAATCACAAGTTTACTGGAGAACTGAAACTGACAAGGCTGACAAGATAGGACCCTTTTGTCCATTGTTATTGGATAGGAACAGAACTTATAACCAGCTCCTGACCTAAATAGATCTTAGCACAACATTTTACTCAACATATCATATTCCATATTCACTATAACAAATATATTTACTACGACATTAGCAAGAACCGCCACATCCTCAGCCGGCTAATCCAGTGTGTGAAGTTTTGCGGAGTGTTTGAGTTAGCTTTGCGAGGCAAAGATGAAACTGAGGGCTCCACCAACCCTGGTAAGCCAACACTTTTGAGATCAGTCAATAAATGCTTCTGGTATTGACTTATATGCTGCCCCTGTCTTCATGTTGTTGCTGGACATATCTTTTTTAAAATGTGTGTAGGTCACCTAAATCATCCGAAAAATTGCCCCCCCTGAGAATTTTTTCAGGAGCCGCCACTGCTCTGATGCATGAACATATGTATTCAACAGAAGGGCATGATGCATGAACCATACAAATATCATGAAATAATTGAAATTCTATGGCATGAACAGTTCTATTCAAGAAATGCCTGGAATGGATTTAACTCATTGCAGTTGCAGGTGCATTGCTCTATCTCTCATATGTAGACTTTGAAGTGAATGTACAAGCTCTTTCTCCATCCATCCTCGAGCAAGGTACACTCTTAGAAATAAGGGTTCCAAAAGGGTTCTTCGGCTGTCCCCATAGGATAACCCTTTTTTGTTCTAGATAGCACCTTTTTTTCTAAGAGTGTACACGTTGGATGAAACATTAACAAGTTCGCTCAGTTAGGAGTCAGTCTCCTAAAGAACATTGAAAACAATATTGTAATGAATTATGCAACCCATGAGGGTAGCAGCGGAGCACAGCATAAGAGTAGAGGAATGAGATTCCATCTGCCTGCCTGTAGGCCTACATTTATTAGGGGTTCTTTTATGGAATTATAGAATCTCTATGGTTTCTTTCATCCATTGAGGGTTTCCTGGTAAAACGCTTCATCCTTTTCAGAAGAAAATTTACTATGTGCATCACTGATCTCTCTGAGCAGTTCAAGGGCCCTGTGACTGATTGAATTGGAGTTCATTTTATTGTAGCTGGAGGGGTTGTATAGTAGTGTGTGTGTGTGTCCATGCGGGGGGGGGGGGGGGGGGGGGGGGGCAACTTCAGTTTGGCACAATTTAATGGGGATTGTTGCCATAAATGGAATAGTAAATTAGCATTTAGGCGGCAGAGTGTGTGTGTATGTGTGTTACTAGATTGCCTGTGGGATGAAGGACCCATTCATTATAAAAGAAAATAACAATGTGATTCAATGAAATTATCAAGGCTCAGGATAAGACCCAGATGCAGACAGTTCGAAATAGCAAAACGTTTATTTACAAAACAGGGGGCAGGCAAACGACAGGTCAAGGGCTGGCAGAGGTCAGTAATCCAGAGCAGAGTCCGAAAGGTACAGAAACGGCAGGCAGGCTCAGGCTCGGGGCAGGCAGAGGTCGGTAATCCAGAACAGTGTCACAAGGTACAGAACGGCAGGCAGGAAACAGGAGACAAAGGGCTGTGAGACATAGGTTCAATCCTAGACACATGAAAAGTGGGATGTATACGGGGCAACAGAAGACCAACAGCAGAGGGGCTAAGGATCTTGGAGATGGGGAAAGGGCTGATAAAACGGGGGGAAAGTTTGCGGGACTCCACCCTGAGGGGCAGCCATACCCTCTGCCCGAGACGATACGGGGGAGCCGGGGTCCGGTGGCGGTCCGCCTTTTGTGAATACAAACGTCCCCGGGGTGGTGTGGTGCCCGGGAAAAGGTTAATCCCGCAGTCATACGGTTGGTGCGGAGGAAGCAAAGTGGCCCGGGCCTTACTAAAAACCTCCCAGAGGTCCTTGTATGATGGCACCAGCAATCCAGTTGATGAGGGGATTGTGTCGCTGAAGCCAATACAATCCCAATACCACGGGAACCTGAGGGGACTTAATAAGCAGGAACTGGATAGCCTCGCTGTGGTTCCCTGACACTCATAGGTTGATGGGAGTGGTATTGTGGGTGACCCTGCCTGTAGAGCGCCCATCCAGCGTTCTAACGTCCATGGGAATGGAGAGGGGCTGAGTGGGGATGTCCAGCTCGGACGCCAGGGTAGCGTCCTTAAAACTCTCATCGGCCCCTGAGTCGATGAGTACCCGGAGAGATTTCGACTGGTTCCCCCACAGCAGGGTGGCATGGAGAGGGGTGCGAGTAAGGGGAGAGGGAAAGATCTCCGTATGACCCACCAGAGTACTCGCCCCTACGGGTGAGCCTGGTCTTTTAGTGGACAGGAGGACACGAAATGACCAGTAGTCCTGCAATACAGACAACTATTATTGTTAAGCCTGCGTAAACGTTCGGCTGGAGACAACCTAGCTCTGCCTAGTTGCATCGGCTCGGGAAGAGGCGAATCGGCAGACTTCGGAAACTCTCGGGGAAACTTGGGTAGCCTCGGATTCTATCGGAGACGGCGACGTCAGGGACTTCCAGGATGCCTCGGAGGCGAGGTGGAATCCTTGGGCGGGCGAGTGGAATCGGACCTCCTCTCCTTCCTACATTCCCGCAGCCGCCCATTGATCCGGATACTTCCCACACTGCCGTAGCCCAGGCGAGAGCCCTCCTGGACATCAGCATGATGAGGTATGCTATCTTCGAGCGGTCCGAG